CAGTAGCTGCCAGCTGCTCGCAGAGGTCCTGTTCTGCTAGGTCTGGTGGGGGGGGAGACTTGCAGCGGGAAGTTTGAAACGGGCAAGAGACTGGGACGAATAATAAACCATTTGAAATCCAATGTCAAATGCTCAAGAATGACCTGATGAGTGCACCTGAAAAAATTAGCGAAGTTAATGATCGGAATGAACAGTAAACAACACGAATTTAGTAACAATTACAGAAATAATCTATAACCGACCCACCTTCTGAATGCATAAAGGGCATGTAAAAGAAGGACCGCATACGAAGGTGAAATTGCTTGTTGAATCCCTTGGCTATGGCCCTGCATTGCACGTAACGATCCATCTTTTTGGTGAGGACGAAAGGTTGTACTAAAAAGAACGGGACTTCCAGACGAACTTCAGAGACATGAACATAAAAGCGGAGCAATCGATGGTGTAGAAATGCATGAGCAATAAGTCTGTTAGATATGAGAACTGCACAAGCACAGCACAGATCACGGCTAAGAGAACTCATGTGCTTGGATAACCTGGAACGTGATTCAATCTTGACGTCACAAGCCGTTAGGATGAGAAGGAGCAGAGAGAGCAGTGCGCTCTAAAGGTACAATATACAAAAGTGCCGTGGACTTACTCACCTTTTTGCGACTTCACGGGCCAACGCGTCCTGTAGCAGGGATGGGAGGACGTGCGATACAATAAGTAGAATGGGAAGGTATAATAAAAATATGACTCAACTCAAGAATAGGGGGAGGGATTTTGAAGGGAGGGAGGAGGGAGGCCGTGGGGAAGGAATAGGAGAAGCCGATGAAAAGGACAACTATTATACGAGTCAGGAAAGAGTTAGGAACGACAATTAGTTGTCCAGAATTGCAGAAGAAAACGACTTCATGCAAGGAGTATGATGATGGTTCTTGTTAAAAAAAAAAGGTTCCATTACAAGGCGATGGAATTGAGACAATGAGGGACTAATGTATGGCCGTAGTGGCGTACTAATGTATCACGCTGCAGAGGGAGGAGAGGGCTCTTGAGGAATTGGAGGTGGCAGTCACACAAGGAGTCTGCAGTGACGTGGACGGTGATTGCAATGACGTGGACAGTGATTGTGAAAGGTGGCGTCAGCACTCACCTGAGCGAAGGAGTCAGGCGATCCCCTGAGGCTGTTCCTCGTGAACTGGTCCAGGAGCACGACCAATGCCAGTGCGCCGCGTGGCGTGTCTTCCCAGCCTGCCAGCTGGCCTGACGCAGCGAGTGGGATGAGGGGAGCGAATCTGGCGCGGATAAACGCGTCCACGTCAGCATCTTTGCGGAACCAAAGGGACTGCTTGGCTGCCACTATATCGTCTTCTGGTGCTGGGCCCTGCCAAGGAGCATTAAGAGGGTTGGAAACACGAGAAAATGCTAGGCTTGGAAAGGAGGGTTGGAAGTTCGAAAAAACATACTTGGATTCATAATAATTGCTAGGCTTGGAAACGGGGACTTTTTATTGCCAATTCTCACAGCATAGTCAGTTGTTTTTCGAGAATCATCCGAAACCAACTCACATTGTAGTCAGGCGCCATGAAGTCGCCGAACCAGTACACGAGAATCTCGTCAGCTGCCTTGTCCACGTCAGCAGGTGTCACGCCGTTGCTGCTCGTTACGACAGGACCGTCGGAAGCCATTGCTGCCGTCGCTGTGGCTGTAAAGCTTCGGCGTTGACCTAGGCAAGCGACAGGCGTGGCCGTCGATCCTGACCAGAGGTGATTCTTGGTGATGGTTACCCTGTAACTGCTAGCACTGGATCTTGACGGTCCACCAATCCCTGAATGAAATTGCGTGGTAACAGAAAATTTCAATGGTAAATGCACAGGCACCCGTTGAGACCCTGAAATGTCGGCTCTCGTTGACGAATCTGGGCAAGAGAAGAGGAATCGCGAATATGGAAGAATCCTTTCAATCGCTGAGGCTTGTCGAGCTCTCGAGAACACCGATGCTTCGAGTCTAATGGCGAGCATCGGAATGGAACAGCTTTTCCGACCCGAGTAATACCGACTTTCCAGCAATGTGTTCGATAAAGGCGCGCCAAGGCCCTTGAGCAGACATATTGGCTGCCTTGAACAAGGTTGGTTGACATGGAAACTTGTTCTTCTCACATATTCACCTTTTCGAACCGCTCTACTCGAACTTCAGACCAAGGAAACTGCCCTGGAAAATATCTATCTGCTCCAGCAGCGAATTCGCCTTGTGGCACTAAGTTGTGACGTGAAACCTCTGCTCCGCCACATGCAAACCCCTGAAAACAAATGAAATACTAACTGCCTCGTGCTTGGTGAAGTTCGGTTGGTTCAAAAACTTGATTTATTAGCCAGTAAAAGTAACAATACAATGCCATCTTAATTCATTCTACACTGGCTAAAACGTTTCATGCTGGTGCTTACCGTACTCCAAGGCGTGCATTATGCACGGACCAATTATATTTCCTACATCCATGTGAACTACGGTAGGTCCCGACCGAAGGCAGTTGCCGACATGTAGCAACAAGTTCTTCCCACCCAATGCTATTGAGGCTCAGCAGCAGTTTCGACTCCTTCCTCTTCCACTGCGTTTGAAACACACACCCATGACAGCCATGCCGTAAAGAATATCAGAAGTAGAGCATGATAGCTTCCACTGCTTCCATATAAAAAGGAAATATGGTACAGTACATACATCAGGTAACAGCTGACATCTGGGAGGAAACGTGGAAATCAAAGTGCAATCACATTGATTTATAGCCCATGCTGGAGAAGATGGAAGGTGGAATGGCATGATATGTGAATGAAGAGAGTAAGAGAGAGGAAGAGAGAGAGATGGAAGGACCATTTGAGAGAGAGAGAGAGAGAGAGAGAGAGAGAGAGAGAGAGGGAGAGAGAGAGAGAGAGAGAGAGAGGGAGGGAGGGAGGGAAGGGGGAGGGGAGAGGGGGGGAGGAGGGGTAAGGAGAGAGATGGATTGAGCGCGAGAGAGGGATGTGAGGCGGGGAGGGAAAACGGAAGAGAGGCATTCAACTACCATGATCCTTGTGGGCTTCAACATCTTTAGGCGACGTCAATGGTTTCTGCTCCTCTCGTTTGGACGGCCCTCCTCCCCCACCACCACGGTAGTTTTGCTTCACAGTGGATTGCTGGTACATCACTCCGCCGACGATTGTAATAAACAGACAGAGCACTCCAAACGGGGATGCGTGCTTATCCCATATCATCACGTTGATGACGACAGTCAGCAGCTTGTTCGTCACGCCAAGTACAGTAAACGCCGTGGCTGAAATCGCTTTTCTGCAGGCGAAACCGAAGAAGCTTATAGCGAGGCCGAACGCGCAGGACAGCAGCACGGGAAAAACGATCCCAAATTCCCACGAGGCCGTGCTCGCGGCTTTAATCGTCTCGCGAAATTCTCCCGTGATCATCCAGAAAACGGGAGCCATGAGGAGGGAGAGGAAGTTGTTGTAGAGAACGAAACCCCAGGTGTTCAGTCCCAGGCTGGTGACTATATGCTTGATGTACACCATTTCGAATGTGATTGTAAAGAGGTAGGCGAAGGCCCAGGTGTAAGCTCGGACAGTGTACTGGCTGTCAGTAAACACGTACCCTACAGCTCCCACTAGGATCACGACCAGCGCGCCGAGAGTGTAAGGCCCTGGCCATGGCTGCTTCCTGAATAAGTAATCTGCGAACGCAACGAGGAGAGGCGTGGAGGATCGGAAGATGATGAAAGTGTCGACATTCGCGTAACGAAGCAGCGAGGTGTTGGTGAAAATCGCCATGTAGAAGACGAACGCGGCCGGAATGAACTTCTTGATCATGTCCCATCGGATCGGGTCGTGGACTAGGAGTTTAAATTGACCGGATGTGACGACGGCGACGACGCATGTGAGGTATTGGAGAGATGTTAGGAGGCTCGGGTAAGGGAAAACTCCGATGGCGAATTTGTTGATAATTGCGAGGAGGCTGGAGCAGAGAGCGTAACCGACGGCTAGCGGGAGAGCGGTTAGGTCGCCTAGGTTGATGTTGACGCCAAAGAGCTTGACGCTCGTGTTCTCCTTGTACCACGGCGCCATGGCTGACGTGTCAACAGTTTAGCAATTGCCGCTTCACTGGCTGATCGAAGGGAGGGGACTAGCAACCAGCGTTAACACCATGAGCGAGATCTACTACAATGGCAGCACATATCAGTGAAGATTGAAGGGCCTCCATAAATTATGCGCACGAAGCAAGCTTCAAGTCGTAGACAAAGAACATGGGAATGGCGCGATGCCTAGGAGATCGATCATAGGTTGGGTGGAGTGGTCTGTGAAGCATCTGATAGGGGCTGGTGAAGTGAGAATGGAGTGAGATGACAAGAGGCGGACAGGAGAAAACAGGGGTGTGGCGTGGGTAAAGGTTTTCCAGACGGTAAACATCGGTTCGTGGCAAATCCGTGCTGGATATTTTCTATGAGTGGTTTGATCAAATAGCGGTTTGGTGTGGTTTGGTGTGCGCAAATTCAGGCTGGATTTCAATTTTGCATTATTTGCTACAATAGTCCACCACAACCCACATACAGTGTAGTGTATGAAATATGTGCTGAAACTTGTAGTAGACCAAGCTGAAACGAATTTGGAGGGAATGGGGAATGATCCGCGCTTGATGCCTGTCAGTCAGTCCCTCGGGATTTGGTTCCTGGAAATTATTTCCTCAAGCAGCCATTCAGGGCAGTGCAAGTTCTATTATTGTTGCAGGCTCGTGATTACCTACTTTCCATATATTCTTGCAAGATATAATGGCGGTCGACTCCCAAGAAGCCATCCGCCTGGCGTTCCTTCTCGAGCCAGGCCACAGCATCAGCAGTACGGATGGTTTCGATTATCTTGGGACCCGACGGTTTCTCCTGAAGACTAACGCTCAAGACGCGACCCTCCAGCGACACGTAGGTGATTCTACTGATTCCTTAGGATGTCATATTATACCCGCGATCCACGGACAATGTTCTGATGCCAGATATGCGCTTCGACGTGCGTTGAATCGAGAAATACGCTACAACATTTGAGGGTTGTTTCGTGAGTTTCCCCTGCGTTTTCAGAGTACTTCGTCAACGTATATGGCTGAAATCCTCCACATCGTCGTTGAACGCCGTAACTGCAACAGCGCCTGTACCCCATTATTGTCCGCACTTCTGTGTTGTCATTGCGCGCTTTGAACCGTGTTTTGTGTCCTACCTTCCTCCCGTTTCCCTCGTTCGCTCGCTCTCCCTTCACCCTCCCCTCGTAGTCTCCTCGCACTCCCCTCGCCTTTCACTCGCAATCCCCTCACACTCCCCTCTCACTCCTCCCCTCACACTTCCATCCCGCAACCCAGCACTGGCAGCACGTGTCAGGAGTGGGCTACGCCGATTTCCGCGCCTTCCTGCGCGCTCAGCGGGACACGTGGCGGCAGGAGCGCGAGGCAAGCAGGGAGGAGGAGAGGCGCGCAGCATCCGCAGCGCCCCATGCTGACGTGGCACATCCAGAAGCTGATGCAGGGCAGAAGGCTCAAGGGAAGGTCAGCATGGGGGAGGAGGTTGATGCGGGGAGGGCTGGTATCGGGGAGGTTTTGGGGGAGTTGGGAACGGTTCAGGTGGACGGGATGACAGTGGCTGATGTCCATGGGGAAGAAGAAGAAGGGTCGGAAGAACGTCTTATGAAGCCTGCAACTGAGACTGTTGCAGCGGGACAGAGTACCGCTGCTGCTGATTCGAGTGCTGGTGCTGGTGCTGGTGGTGCGGATGCTGCTGGTGCTGCTGCTTCTGCCGTTCCTGATGTTGCTGCTGATGCTACTGAGACCTCCAAAAGCACTGCCACGGCTGCTCCTTTCTCGACTGGCAGTGCTGCTGACTCCATAGCTGCTGCTGTAGCAGCAGCGCTTGGGAAGTCTGAACCCGCGCCAGTCACTCAACCAGCAACAACCGCGCACGTTGCTGCTGCACCCTCTAAAGCTGCTGCTTCTCCCACGTCTGATGGGACTGAGGAGCACAGGGAGCACAAGGAAAGCGGAATAGAGGAGGAGGTGGCGATACGGGTCAGCGCAGCCAGTGGCGCAGGTGCTGCTGGTGTGTCTTCTGATGCGCATACAGACGCGGAGAGAGGGGACGAGGAGGGCGGGAATGAAGTTGCAGCAGTGGAGGAGCAAGAAGAAGAGGAGGGAGCAGGAGCAAAGAGGCGAGACGGAGGAGCGGGGCTGGCATCTTCAGCAGCGTCCTCATCAGCAGCGTCCTCGTCAGCAGCAGCAGCAACAGCAGCAGGTGTTGTAGCAGCAAATCAAAGGGAGAATAAGGAGCAGCAGGGCGAGAGCAAGCACAAGGACGGCAAGCAGCCGCCATCCCCTCCGTCCCTCCCTGCTGGCTTCACCTCCTCCATCTGCAGCGTTCCCCCAGAAGCTTCTCGGAACGTTCTTCCTCCTCCTCCCCCTCGGCCTGGCCCTGCCAAGGCAGCAGCGGCAGCAGGGGAAGCGGAGGGGAAGAAGGGGGCGAGGAGAGGCAGCGAAGGGGCAGGGAGCGAGGGGGGTGTGGGGAAGGCGCTGGAGAGGAGGAGATCGGTAGGGGAGGCGGTAGCAGGGAGGGGGAGTGGGGAGGCGGGGCCACCTGTGCGCATGTGTGCTGTCTTCGATGACTGCCTTGCATCAGGTGCGACCAGGTTTTTGAGTCGCCTCAGGGTTTAGGGTTGGAAGGATAGGGAGGGGGAGTGGGGAGGTGGGGCCACCTGTGCGCATGTGTGCTGTCTTCGATGACTGCCTCGCTTCAGGTCTGATACTGACACTGACATTGGCTACCGAAACATTTCTTGTGTACCAACCAACCAACCAACTGAATTTGCGCCTTGTTACTTCTCGCGTGTGTGGCCCTTTGAACTTTTTTTCTTTCTTTCTTTCTTTCTCTACTTTCTTTTCTTTCTTTTTCTCTCTGACTTGCTTGACGCGACGCTTGCCCCCTCTTATCCTTTTGCATCTCTTGCAGACCTGCAGCCCCCTTAAAACCATCTCTCGCATTTCCCGCTCCATCCCAACACCCCCTCATCATAATGCCCCTCCCACCCAACCCCATCCCGGCGACTCCCCACTCCAGTGAACAAGGTGCAGCTCGCCCAGCACCACCCACACCTGCTCGCCTGCGGTGCTAAATGCACCGCTCTCCTCCCACCCCAAAACACCACTGGCTAAATGCCAGACCCTCCTCCCCCCCCCCCTCTCCCCCTTCCCTGCACTGAGCAAGGTGCAATTCGCCCGGCATCACCCTGACCTGCTCCCCTACATGGCTGCTTGTGCCAAATGCACCCCGTTCCACTCACTCTCCCCTTCTTTGGCCCCCCTTCCTCCCCCTCCTCCCGCTCCTCCCTGCAGTGAACAAGATGCAGTTCGCCCGGCACCATCCTGTTCTGCGCGCCTACGGGGCAACATGTGCCTAATGCCCCATTCTCCACCCACTATGAAAACCTCTTCTCTCCCGCCCTGCAGTGAACAAGGTGCAGTTCGCCCGGCACCATCCAGACCTGCTGGCCTACGGGGCAGCGGACGGCACACTGCGGCTGTGCTATGTGCCGTGCAGCCAGGGGGGAAGTAAAGCAGGCGGCGCAGGGGGGAAGAGGGGTGCTGCGAGTGTGGCGCGAGTGAAGCAAGAACTCAAGGGGCACACCAAAGAGGTCACTGGTGAGTGAAGTCAAATGGGCAGAGTCTTGGATTGATTTAAACATGCAGGAAAGAGAAGTGGGGTGGTGAGTGCGGGCGGGGCGCGAGGGAGTGAAGTGAAGCATGAGCTAAGGGACAGACGGAGCAGAATGGTCACCGTGACCTCGTGAACCCTCATCGTGAGTGAGAGTGAAACGCATCCTGCCGCGTGGAACCACACCTCGTTTTCGAGCTTCAAGATTCACATTGGGTGCGCTGGCAGTGCTGCGCATTGACTGCTGCGCAGCCTATGTGCAGTCTGTGCAGTCTGTCTGTGCAGTCTGTGCGGTCCACTCTCTCCACCTATGGCCAATCTCATTCTCTTGCTACATCCGCCTGCCATCCACCCCTCCCACGTGGCAGACTTTGATTGGTCCACGGATGACGACTACCTGTGCTCGTCGTCGGCGGACAAGAGTGTGCGCGTGTGGGACGTGGGGTCGGGGCAGTGCCTGCGCATCATCTACACGGTCATTCCCCAGACCTGCATCATCTTCCACCCAGTATGTGTCGCTTGGCGCGTGTCGAGACATGGATGGACCACTGTCCTACATATAGTGCCTGCACATAATCTACACGCTCATTCCGCAGACCTGCATCATCTTCCACCCAGTAATGACTCATCAGGAGCCACGAGCGGACAGTGATGAGTATCAGCACGGGGCGCGCGATGAGCCGCGTTGCCATGGACAGCAACGTTGGTGGGAGTTCTGAGAGCAACGCCCGTTCCCCTTCTGCCCCTCCCCGCCTTCCGCACTTCGCCTGCCCCTTTCACTGGCAGCAAAACAACAACTTCCTGGTGGTGGCGAACAGCAAGCGGGAACTGACAGTGATGAACTTCAGCACGGGGCGAGTGGTGAGCCGCGTTGCCATGGACAGCAACGTTGGTGAGAGTTCTGAGAGCAACGCCCGTTCCCCTTCTGCCCCTCCCCGCCTTCCGCACTTCGCCTGCCCCTTTCAATGGCAGCAAAACAACTACTTCCTGGTGGTGGCGAACAGCAAGCGGGAACTAACAGTGATGAACTTCAGCACGGGGCGAGTGGTGAGCCGCGTTGCCATGGACAGCAACGTCCGTTCCCGCTGCCCCTTCCCACCTTCCCCACTTCCACCTCACTCTACTCCCGTCCCCCTCTCAGCAAAACAACAACTTCCTGGTGGTGGCGAACAGCAAGCGGGAACTAACAGTGATGAACTTCAGCACGGGGCGAGTGGTGAGCCGCGTTGCCATGGACAGCAACGTCCGTTCCCGCTGCCCCTTCCCACCTTCCCCACTTCCACCTCACTCTACTCCCGTCCCCCTCTCAGCAAAACAACAACTTCCTGGTGGTGGCGAACAGCAAGCGGGAACTAACAGTGATGAACTTCAGCACGGGGCGAGTGGTGAGCCGCGTTGCCATGGACAGCAACGTCCGTTCCCGCTGCCCCTTCCCACCTTCCCCACTTCCACCTCACTCTACTCCCGTCCCCCTCTCAGCAAAACAACAACTTCCTGGTGGTGGCGAACAGCAAGCGGGAACTAACAGTGATGAACTTCAGCACGGGGCGAGTGGTGAGCCGCGTTGCCATGGATAGCAACGTCACCGCCCTCGTTGCCCACCGAACCACCTCCGCCCCCGCAGCAGCAGGTTCTGCCACCAGCAGCAGCAGCGGAGGAGGAGGAGCAGCAGGCAAGGCTGTAGCATCAGCAGGAGCAGCAGGAGCAGGAAGCAGTGGGTTTGGAGGGGGAGCAGGGGAGGCGGACAGCGTGGTGTTTGTGGGCGACAGCGACGGCGCCATCCACAGCTTCACGGTCGACAAGCAGTCGGGCGCTCTGCTCCGCCGCCACAAGACCGTTGCTGGCGTTGTCCATCCCGCACCTGTGGCCTCGCTGCATTTCCGCCCCACCTCTGTGCTGGCCAATGGGCCCGTGCTGCTGGCCTGCAGCAAGGATGGCTGCGTGCGCTTCTACACGTGAGCATGGCACTGTAACGCACTCAGTACCTCCTGCTTTGATGTGTGAGTACTGGTGATGGTGGGGAGTGTTGGCCAGTCGGGCGCTCTGCAGCGCCGCCACAAGACCGTTGCTGGGGTGAATTCGTTTTTTGAGAACTCTTAAGAAAAAGGAATTCTCAAGACCGTTGTTGGGTTTGTGCACCCATGTCTTCTCTGCACTTCAGTTCGACCTGGCTTGCAGCAAGAACGGTTGCCTTCGATTCTACACGTGAGTACGGCGATAAGGATTGCACACACACCTGAGTTGCAGTGGTTTCTGACCACACCTGAGCTCAACGGCTACCTCTTTCTCAAGATCTCGCCGCAGCTCTCTGTTCATCTCTGTCATTTCTGCCCCTTGATCATGTGCCCTTACCCCCTCCTTCCCTCTCTTTCCCACTCCCTCCACCTCTCCCCACCCACCAGCACCGCTCTGGAGCTCAACAGCTACCTTTACCTCAAGATCTTGCTGCAGCTCTCTGTTCAACTCTGTTGTCTCTCTGTCCCTGCTCTCCCTTCATCCGCCCTTAGCCCCCCACCCCTCTCTCCCCACCCACCAGCACCGCTCTGGAGCTTAATGGCTACCTCTTCCTCAAGATCTCGCTGCAGCTCTCCTCACGCGCTACCAACATGAACGCTGCCTTCTGCCCCCCGCTTGGGCCCTCAGGGTCCGGGGAATACATTGGTGAGATTTTTCTTTGCAGTGGTAGCGAGTAAGTCACCATCCTACAGAATCGTGGATTCTGACATCCAAGGTGATGGCTTTTGAAGAAATTCCACTTACCATCTGATGCCCACTACAACTCCTGGGGCGCCTAAAACATCATGCCCACTACAAGTCCACCTGCCCATGAACCTTGTTCTCTAGTTTTGTCACGTCACGAGCCCCCCTCTACGGCTTCTACGGCTTCATGATATCCTTTATGAGCCCATCCTAGAGTGTTTTTGCGTCAGTTGCTGGTTACCCATTCACCCCCCTTCCCCTCCTTCATCATATCCCTCCAGCAACAGAGTGTTGAGCTGTTTCACCATCTCCCTTCCCTGCTTCATCCCTTTCTCTCCCTTCATCCTGTTGTCTCCATGCCATTGTTCCCATGCATGCAGTGACGGGCAATGCCGACCACCACGTGTACTTCTATGATTTCATGAAGCCTCGCAGTCCACTAGTGGCCCGCGTGCCGGTGAGTGTGGCAATGACTGTAATCAAAGTAAAAGGAATTTTGAGCCGATCCAACTGTCGTGTACTTCTACGACTTCATGAAGCCGCGCAGTCCACTGGTGGCCCGCTTGCCGGTGAGTGTGGCAGTGACTTCTGAATCGACCTAAAAGGAATTTCGAGTCGATCCAAATGCCGATCCAAATGTATAGGTTTTTATGAAGCCTTGCAGTCTACTGGTGGCCCATGTGCTGGTGAGTGTGGGAGTAGGACTACGTTTTGACCCCATGGGATGGGACCATACTGGCCTTCCATCAAGCTAGCCCATCTTACCTGCTTTTCGCCTGCGGTGAATGTGAGTTGGAGCAACTCAAAACCCTGATCGCTCCCCCACAGCACCTCTACTTGCATGATTGTCATGGCTTGCCCTTTACCCTCCCCATCTCCGCCCCTCCCTCACCCCTCCCACCCCTCCTCCCTCTTCTCTCCCTTTCAGGGTCACAAGGCAATGGTGGTGGATGTGAGTTGGAACAACAGCAACACGGTACTCGCCTCCTGTGACTGTGATGGGGTGGTGGCACTGTGGCATCGCGTATAAGCCCGGACCGGATAGTCTGTGTGCTTCAAGAGCATCTCGTTTGTGCCTCACGAGCATAGCTCCTGAAAGTGTGTGCTTCACTAGCACCTCTTGGAACAACAGCAACACTGTACTCGCCGGTGGTGGCACTGTGGCAGCGCGTAAAAGACCTGATAGTGTGTGCCTCAAGAGCATAGATCTTCGTACCACCATAAATGTTTGCTTCACTAGCACCTCTTAGAACAACAGCAACACTGTACTCGCCTCCTGTGACTGTGATGGGGTGGCGGTGGTGTTGTGGCAGCTACATACGTAGTTAAGCTCCTGACAATGTGTGCCTAACACACAAGCAAGCACCTCTTGGTCCCCGGAGCACCAGCATCCATTTGACTACGATAATGTGGCGGCGTTGTGGCATGGCAGCGCGGTGCGCCTAAACCAGAATTGTTTTGCACATGCATGCAAAGGGAATGCATGCAGGCGGGCAATGCCTGTGTCTTGTACGCTGACTTAACTCTTGTGACGTTGCTGCAGGCTGGCGGGCAGGACTTGCACCCACAACAAGAATTGCGATGCGATTCAACTCAACTGGCCAGCATGCACGTCGTATTGTGTGAATGAAATAATGCTCAGGAAGGAGACAGTCATGTCACGTCTCATAAGGCTATATCAACAGTTCGTGCACAGAATGCTATCAGCGCGCATGCTTGGCAAAGCATGCCATTTCGTAAGTACATTCAGTAGCCAGAACTTTCAGGAAACTGATGGAAAACCTACACTTGCAATAAAGTGTACTGATTATTGTAACACAGTGGCGCTGTCAGTGCACCACCATCACAGCAGCTAGAATGGGTCATCATAACCTACAAGCTGGGCCTACAAGTGGAGGTGCCTAATCACCACCAGCTCCTTTCTCCCCTACCTCCGCCCCATCCCCTCCCTCCCCCTCTGCCGCTACTGCACCTGTATCAGTTTCCATTCCTTCTCCTGCCCCCCCTGCTCCCTCTGCTGTGCCTTCTCCCCCCTCACCCCCCTCACTCGCCTGCACCGACCCCACCACGTCATACTTAAACTGCAGAGACGACTCCCAGTCCCTCAGGGTCTCCATTTCAGAATAGGTTAGCCCTGTGAGGTCCCCCACCGCATCCTTGGGATCGGTTGACATCTTGGCAAACGCGCGGCTCGCCTCCTTCCCTGCAAACACCTCATAGGGGCCTCCTGGGCCATAAAAGTGCCTGGGAGGGGGGGAGTGGGGTGGGAGGGTGGGGGAGGAAAGGGCAATATGAATTTCTGAGTCGACTCAAACAGGGATTGCCTCGCTCTTCTGGCTCCTTTTCCAGCAAAAACCTCATAGTGGACTCATAGGGTCTCCATCTGGGAGTAGGAGAGCCATGTGAGGTCCCCCACCGCATCCCTGAGGCCGGTCGACATCTTGGCAAACGCGCGGCTCGCCTCCTTCAGCACGAATTTGATCCCTGGGTTGTTTCAAACACGGCTTGCCTCGCTCCTCTTCCTGCAAGGACCTTGGGGATCTCCATCTCGGAGTAGGTCAGTCAGTCAGCCCGGCCAGGTCTCCCACCCCACGGCAGCCCGTGGGTCCGTCGACATCCTGGCAAACGCGCGGCTCGCCTCCTTGCCTGCAAACACCTCGTAGGGGCCTCCCGGACCATAGAAGTGTCTGGGAAATGGGAGAGTGGGGTGGGTGGGAAACGGAGTGCCGTGCATTGAAGTGGTAATGAATTCGGCTCTGCTTGCCTCCTGCAAACACCTCGTAGGGCCCTCCTGGACCATAGAAGTGCCTGAGCGGGAGGGAGTGGGATGGGGCAAGGGGGTGCGGTGCAGTGTTTGTTACTCCGCCTTGCCTCACCTCACCTCAGCTCAGCTCGCTTCCTTCCCTGCAAACACTTAGTACGTTAGGGCTCGATGTGCTTTGGTGAGTTGTAAAAGGCTAGGGAGGATAGTGAGGTTAGTTAGGTTTGTGAGGTTAGTTAGGTTAGTGAGGTTAGATAGGTTAGTGAGATTAGTTAGGTTAGCAACCGACAATAGCGAAGGCAGGTGGCGGGGACACGAGGGAAGTGCACTCGGGACGTATGCTGCAGGCTTGTGAGTGTATCGGAATTTCCAACCAGGGAAGTCGTAGGGTACATAACAAGCACTCACCCAGGTTGACATGCAATTTGACACCCATTTTGACATACACTTTGAGACAGGGTAGAAAGGACAGGCACTCACTTTCCACGAGTCACATCGTAGATTTTCCCTCGGATGGCCTGGGCAGGAGAGGGGGATGGGGGAGAGGACGGAGAAGGGGAAGGAGGAGGGGAGGAGAAGGGGACGGAAACGGGGAGGGGGAGAGCGGCATAAGGGGAAAGAAGGAGGGGGGAGTGAGGGAAAAGGGAAATTTTATGAAAAAGCGACTAAGTATTTATAAGACACTGCAATACGAGCCACGATTGACGCCCATATCCCTATGCCAACAGAAAAGCGCATATCACTCACCAGAAGGATCGGTTTCTCTGGGTCGCTGCCGCTGTATTGGCTTAACTCCTCGAGGGTAATTTCCCCTATTTTAATCGGCTCAGGTGGGCCCGGCACTGGCGGCGGAACAGGCGCTGCGCGGTGCTGAACGTACGAGAAGATGACGTAAATGATTGACGCGATGAGGACTAATAACGGGACTGTTGTTGACGGAGCAAGCCCTGTGGCTTCTTGCACGTACGCCAGAAAGGTTTGTAACGGGGATAGTGCAGTCGACATATTGGTGGCGAAGAGGGAGCGCGATGTGTGTCAATGACAGTATGCAGAGGCAAGGCGAAATTGAGAACACGCGGAATTCACGGGTTTCGTCCGATTTTTGAAATTTCTAAAAATTCGCTATTGGAGACACGTGGAATTCACGGGTTTAGGTCGCGTTGAAAACGAACGCGACGACAAGTCAGGGCGAACGGTGCGAGGAGCAGCGAGACAAACCTTCGCAGTATTTGCGAAGTCTGCGTGGAGACGAGACTACTAAAGGCTGGGAAAATGAACAAGGGCAAGGTAGGGAGTATCCATCTGCCGTTGACAGGACTTGAAAATGGCGCAAGAGGCCGGTGATGGCGCGGGATTTCTAGGCTCCAGAAAGTGCAACCTCGATGTTGACGGGACAAATTAGAGAGTACAGTATTCAAAGCAGCTGAGCTGCGGGTTGTGTGTTGTTCGAGCAACCAACCGCACCAAACCGATGGTTACCTCTGGATATAGGACACACTCGATATGTTCTTTTTGCATTCCAGAACTGATCTCAAATCTATTTGTTTAGTAACCAGCTGGAGAAATGGCGTTTTGGAGCGAACGCCCCCAGTATAAGATCACACACCATAGGCTGATGCATGCTCATGCGCTTCTTTTAGGTGGTGCCTAGTAAGGGGAACATATACGTTTCGTGTGTGGGATCACTCGAGTACATTTGCCTGACTGCTTCCAGCGGCGGCGAGTCGACGATACGTCCCTCAAGCGCAGCGACGCTTCGCGAATTGCGTCACGTCCTGTGCCGAATCCTGGATATGTTCGTGCTGTTTGCTCGTAGGACCACTGGCTGAACTGCATCGCGTTTCATGAGCCTTAGATAAGGAATCAGTGTAACGAGGTGACTTTTGAGTCGGCTCAAAAGTGAACCATGATGTTCTTGTAGCAAGCACGCAGTGTGATATCGATCTCGATAAGGAATCAGACTCAGGTCAGACTCAGATACGATTCAGACCAGCTTCAGACCAAACTCAGACTAGATGCATGTCCTGTCTAGAGGACGTACGCAAGTAGTTGTACGCGCGTCAGCCCAACTTTAGAAAGAACATTTTTTAGGCGCCTAAAAAATAGACTCCTTGGGACGAAGTAAGCAAGTAGTTGTACGCGCGTCAGCCCAACTTTAGAGTGAACATGCAGGCTGACGCGTCAGTCCGTCAAGCTTAGCTTCGGGAGCACCAGGTTGTTAATTCAGAGCTGGTCCAGGTCAAGCAGTCGTCAGTTTTGCGCCACTAGGTTATGTCTGAGTCGATTCACAACTCAGGCTTACCTTCGAGAGCAGAAGGCGCGTCGAGTGAGAGCCGGTTCAGGTCAAGCAGTCGTCAGCTTTGCGCCACTAGCCTTCGCAAGACGCCATGGTCCTAGGTAAGCCGGCAGTTAAGTTCCTCCTGTAACATGGTTACTCTGATTTTGTCACATTTAGAGTAAGCCCTTGGTTACTCTGCTTCTGAAACTTCGGATGTAGGCTCACATGGGTACTCTGAAAAAATCAGGAAAGAAAAGAAAGGGCTACCTGCCTCATGGCCTCGTGGCACCGTCATTGTCGGTATTTTTGAGGCGCCTCAAAAACTCGTGGCACAATCATTGTCGGTCGTACATGACTGTGTTGTGCACCCCATGGCACGGCCACACAGATTTGCGAGGGTTTTGAGGGTCTGTTACATAATTTAAGGTTTTTACCTGCCAGGCTTCTACTACGGCGAGGCCTCGAACCGCTACCTAGACATGCCATGCCCGTTGTTGTCTGTGCTGCACTGTGTTGTGCACCCCATGTCATGGCTGTGTGTGTGCTGCATGTGCTGCATGTGCTGCATGTGCTGCATGTGTGCACTGCATGTGCCTGCAGACCTACCAGGGTTCTACTGTGACGAGGCCAGCAACCCGCCTGCCAGGCACCTAGGTTCACATAAAAGCATAACTCATGGCCGTGCAACCATTGCGTGTGCCTGCAGACCTACCAGGGTTCTACTGTGATGAGACCAGCAATCGCTTCTTCTGCCTGCCAGGCTCTCAGGTTTTCAAACTCCCCATACTGTGCACCCCCATGCCATGTGCCTGCAGACCTACCAGGGTTCTATTATGACGAGGCCAGCAACCGCTACTTCCGCGGCCCGCCTGCCAGGCTCCGAGATTTCCAACCCCCCCATACTGTACACCCCCATGCCATGTGCCTGCAGACCTACCAGGGTTCTATTATGACGAGGCCAGCAACCGCTACTTCCGCGGCCCGCCTGCCAGGCTCCGAGATTTCCAACCCCCCCATACTGTGCACCCCCATGCCATGCGCGTGCAGACCTGCCAGGGTTCTACTATGATGAGGCTACCAATCGCTACTTCCGCCTGCCCAGACCTGCTGCTCCGGCCCCCTCGCCCTCTACGTTAGCAGGAGCAGCTGGTGTACATGCAGCAGAGGGGAGAGGAGGAGGAGGCAGAGGAGGAGAAAGAGGAGAGGGAAGAGGAGGACGAGGAGGGTGTGGTGGAGGTGTGGGGAGAGGAGGAAGTGGGGATGGGGGCAGAGGAGGAGGCGGAGGAAGCGGTTGGGAACGGTCCGGAGGAGAGGGGGACAGGCATGGTAGTGCTCACCTGCCGTCCCTGAAATCTGCCGAGAAACTTCCCAGTGTTTTCCAGCTGCTGCGTGAGAGGGAGGCTGGAGGTCGCTGCTGGCACCCCTTGGTACTGTCACATTCGCTAACAGCACAGAGCTCGACCGAGCATGGAGCACGTTCTCAAAGAGCAGAGTGCTCGTTAGAGTCACAGCCCAGTGGAGAAAGGAGGCGGAGGAGGAAACGAGGGAAAGAGCATGCAGAGAGGGGGCAGCAGCAGCAGGATGGGTCCCTTCGCCCGTGCGCGGAGCGTAGTTGTGATCAGCGTAGTTCTCGTGGTGATGCTATTGGTGGTGACGAGGGTTATGGTGGTCATGACAATCGTGCTTCTAATGGTCGTGCTGGTTCTGGTGACAGTGGTTGTGGGGGTCGTGGGGGTGGTGGGGGGCGTCTGAAGGCAGTTCCGTTGGTGTGTGGGCACGGGTTTGAAACGGCAGCTCGCACTGCTGGCATGAGAAACCTCAAGGTGAGCAATGGCAAGGAGAGGAATGGCAAGGTGAGGAATGGCAGTGTGATGCGGGCATGGCATGGACTGACTGACCCATTCACTACACACTGCTGTTTATGCTGCACTCTCCCCTGCTCTCGCCTCTGCACCCACCGCTGTGCAGTTGTGGCAGTACCCGGCAGCAATGGCAAGGGCGTGTGATGTGGGCATGGCAGTGACTGGCCGATTCACTACACACTGCTGTTTATGTGTGATGTGGGCATGGCAGTGGTGCATGTGGTGGCGCAGGGGGGAAGGGGCACTCATGTGTGACTCGTTGCATAAGTCTGTGCTGCTGCTTCTGTTGTGCCTGCACCCTCCTCTCCACCCTCCCCTCGCTGTGCAGATGTGGCAGTATGAGCTAACGGAAAGGGTGTGTGATGCGGGCATGGCAATGATGCATGTGGTGGCGCAAGGGGAGGAGGGGGCGCACGTATGCGCACAGGCATGCTTGTGGGGCATCGATTGGGGGATGTGAGGTGAGATGAGTGGCGTTGGCGGGAGGCTGATGTGAGGTAGGGGAGTAGTATCATACTAGGTGGTCGGTCACAGGCCCCACAGACCCTCATTTTCAATCGCCTGTCCACACTCACCGCCCCATCCACCAGCGCCACACGCTGTGCCTGCCTCCGCTCCATCAACAGCAACACCATCTCCACACCCCATCCATATAAACTCAAATAAACTCAACAGCACCACCTCCCTGTGCCTCATGCCTCAGCTCGCCCCTCCGCTCCCCTGCACACCCCGCCCCTCCCATCAGCGGATTCCCCTCTTGCCCATTCCCTCTCTCACGCCAGCACCCCCTTTTCCCTGTTTCGCCTCTCCCATGCCATCCCACCCTTCTTCCCCAATCAGCCTTCTGGAGCTCACAGATCAGGAAGACACACCTACCCTCACTCGCCCCACACCACCCACCAGCACCCACCAGCACCGCAAGGCCTAGCACCTTTCCACGGGCAGCAGCTCACTCCCTCTCGCTCATCCCTGTCTCATCCCACCCTTGTTCCCCAAGCAGTCTTCTGGAGCTCACGGATCAGGAAGGCATTCCTGCCGCCACTCGCCCCACCACCTACGAGCACCGCACACACGCCCTGGCTCCTTCCCACGGGCAACACCTCTCTCCCTCTCACTCATCCGTACCTCCTCTCCGCTTGTTTTCCCCCAACTGAACAGTCTTTTGGAGCTCACGGATCAGAAAGGCATTCCTGCTGCCACTCGCCCCACCACCTACGAGCACCACACACCTTTGCTGCTTTCCACGGGCAGCTCGATTTCTAGATCCGGGCAGCAGATCGCAACTTATGATCTGCCCAGGCCCACTCCTCCTCCTGCCTTCACAAGCTCGCACTCCCTGTTTCTGGGCTCGGATGTTACCAGCATTCGCATGCTCCCTTGGGGCAGCAGAGCGGCTGGTGATGCTGCTGCTGCTGGCAGCCGTGCAGTGTGAGTGGTGGGGTTGGTGGGGGGAAAGGGGATAGCACGTCACTAGCACTACCTATGGAGCTTGAACTCTCTCTTTCTGGGCTCAGATGTCACTTCCATTCGCACGCTTCCTTGGGGCAGCAGAGGCACTGCGAATTCCGCTGCTGCTGCTGGCAGCTGTGCTGTGTGAGTGGGTGGGGTTGGTGGGGGGAAGGGGATACTCTATGTCACTAGCAAGCACTACCTATGGACACTCCCTCTTTCTGAGCTCGGTGGTCACTTCCATTCGCACGCTTCCTTGGGGCAGCGGAGGCACTGCGAATTCTGCTGCTGCTGCTGGCAGCTGTGCAGTGTGAGTGGTGTGAGCTGGGGGGAGTGAGTGAGGGTGCATTGGGGCTGCTGTAGAGACCCCAATTTCCTCGTTCCGACTGGCACTGAAACGAGCTGCCTTTTCGTCCAGTCAAGTAGTTCCTTACTCCCCCTCCCATTTTTGAGTCGACTAAAAAATTTCGTCCAGTCAATTAGTTCCTTACCCCCCCTCCCATCCTTCACAGCATTACGACTCTAGGCACGGGGGGTCACCCCGCCCGTGTGTTGCTCGCTGCTCTGGACCTCGCAGGCTCTTCTGGTGCAGCCACAGCTGGTGGCGACGCAGCTGGTGCTAATGCGGCTGGTAGGAGAAGGAGCAGCAGGCAGCATCTACATTGGCGGAGGGAGAGGCAGTTTGTGTTGCCTGGCAGCGTGTGGGCGTGTGAATGCTCGCCGAAGCAAGGGGAGATCGGAGTGGGTGAGTGGCAGTCAGCCGTTTTTATGAAAATTTTGACTTGGCTGGCGGATGGGGAGGAGGCAGAGAGGCAGTTTGTGCCGCATGTGGGCGCATGAATGCTTACGTACAGTAAGGGAGAAGTGGGTGAGTGAGTGTGATTCTCAGGCACGTCAAAGTAGATGTTGAGTGTGACCCATACATACAAGGGTCACTAACCTAACATCACTGGTTTGAGACGTCTCAAAACAGTACTTCTATCATGTGGCTCACGTACAGTAAGGGAGAAGTGAGTGAGTGAGTGAGTGTGATTCTCAGGCAGGTCAAAGTAGATCGGCCCATTCAAGGGTCACTCACCTAACATCACTGGGCTCTTTGAGTTTATCAAGCAATTGAGAAAGAGCATATGTTGCCGCAAGCTTGGTAAGCTCAATTGCTTCAATGTGTGCTTCTCTTTCCAGGCACGTTGCTGGGCTGGGAGCACAGCTGCTGCATGTGGCAACAGGGAAGCAGACGGCTGGTGATGGTTCGTCATCTCTTTCAGTGTTAGTTTCACCTTGCATCTCTCCCTCCACGTCTGTGTGTCTCTCTCCAGGCACGTCGCTGGGGTTGCAGCTGCTGCAAGTGGAGACGGGGCAGCGGGCCTGCTTGGAGGAGCAGAGCACCCTCCATCGTCTCACTGTTTGCCTTGCTTGATTTTCTTCCATTGCTTGCATCTGCTCCCCTCCCACCACATCTGTGTGTCCTCCTTTAGGCACGTCGTTGGGGTTGCAGCTTCTGCATGTGGAGACGGGGCAGCGGACGGCCCTGTGCCACAGCAACAGCGACGTGCTGGCATTGCAGGTCACAGGGGAGGTGAGACTCTGGGGAGGTGAGACTCTGGGGAGGTGGGATGTGGAGATGCAAAGCTGGTGCATGTGGGGACGGAGAAGAGGACTGCATTGTGCAACAGCAAGGTCACAGGAGAGGTGACTCACGGGAGAGGTAAGATGAAGGGGAGGTAAGATGCGGGGGAGGTGAGATGCGGGGGAGGTGAGATGCGGGGGAGGTGAGATGCGAGGGGCAAGGGGTAGAATGTAAGGGGTCTCTCCTCGCTTATGGCCACGTAGCATTGAGCGAGCAGCAAGGGGTAGAATGTTCCCTCTCCCTTTCTTGCTATGCATATCAAGCTTCTCATCCTCTCACCCCCTCCCCCTCCCCCCCCCTTCCCCCCTCCCCCCCTCCTTCCGCCTCCCACGCATGCGACCTCAGGGCAGCATCTACCTGGCTGGCTTCCGCAACGGCGCCATCGCCACTATCGATACGCGAGCACCCCTCCCCACCTCATCCAAGCACCTCCCTCCGCCGCCGCTCTCACCATCCTCCTCCTCCACGGACCCCATGCAGCCAGCGCATCGGAGTGGGGGGCAGGGCGGAGGCAGGAGGGGCAGGAAGGGTGGAAGGGAGTGGGGCAAGAAGAGTGCAGCACGGGAGGTGAACGAGTATTACTGCAGCCACGAGCGAGTCATGCGCATGCCCTCTGCTGTATCTGGGTAGGTATTGTTGCCGTTGCTTGGATTCTGATATGTTTATGGATGCGCATGAAGAGTAGGGCATACCGGTGCTGTGCGTGTGCAACATGTATGTCATCGTGACTCTGCGCCCTCCTTGTTTTCCTCCTAATGTGCCATGCATGGGTATCGTCCATTGCTTATGGTGCATGGGGCATGGTGCATGCGGCATGGGGCATGGGGCATGGGGCATGCGGCATGGGGCATGGGGCATACAGCATGCAGGCAATGAAGCAAGGTGCTTTCTACCTCTTCGCATCCTCCTTTGATGGATCCGTGAGTTTCTACCTTTTCATCAATGCCATGCCTGCCACCCACCTTTTTTATCTTGTCACCGAATATAATGGTAAGTGCATCATATTGGAGACATGTGCTAATTGGGTGTGGAAGTGGTGCAGCGAGTGTTATTCAATCTGCATGTGTGGTAGTTGGGTTATAGAGAGTAGCGAGAAGTTGGTAGCATTGGGGGTTACAGGGCGCTTTGGGGACAATTTCAGGAACCTCGGGAGACAGGCAATCTGGCGAGGGCCAATCCAAGGCCCAGGCGGCTCGAGCTCAACCCAGCACGCTGAGTTACTGGCGACTGGGCAGCCAAGCACAAATAGCCTAGCATAGCATAGCAAACCTGTTCTCTCGTCTTGTTCGCCTCATATAGTGGTCAAGTGTTACCGTTCTAAAGCTACTTAAGCTAGGTGACTGCGCCACTGTGGGCGGCCTGCGTGTGGGAGCCTGAATCTCTCTCTAGGTAGTGGCTGAGTACGAAGAAGGGAACAGGCAGCAGGAGTGGGGACAGCACAAGGTGGGGAAAGGCCAGAATAAGAAGGAAGGGAAGAAGGTGAGGACAGAAGACAGGGAAGAGGCAAGGGCAAGAGATGAGTGAGGAAGGAGAGGGGAGTAACTCCGACAATCTTTGCACTGAACTTGTGCATAATAGTTGAATTCTTGTTTCTCTTTATGCTTAACGCCGGAGGGGCAAGCAAATCCTCTGTGCTTTTGAGGCGCCTGAAATATAGAGTCCTCATCCCCGCTTCTGAAACCCTAAGCCTGGTTGGTCCCTTTGGTTGGCCTATGCCGTCCTCTGTGCCCAAAAACCTGCTCTTCCTCCTTCGCTCTCCCCCCATTTCTGCCCTTTACTATCACACTTGTTCCACTGGTAACTAACTGTGCCTCACCGGTTGCCATTCACTGCCTGGTGCGTCAGCTGCAACTCATGTGTCACACGAATCACCTCTCACTGCTTCACTCCTTGCCTTATCATTCTCCCTGTAATTTCATGTGTCACACATGGTCCCACCCACCCAATCGCAGTTGTTTCAATGGGACCTCCGCTCTACGGCGACGCCCCTGCGCCAGTTGCAGGGGCACAGAAACTCACACTTTCACCTGCCACTGCTGCTTGACCCTTCAGAGAACTTCGTATTCGCACGTGAGGCAAATAGTGAAGCCTTTGTTTATTCTTTCGGCCTTGTTTGTGCAATTGCTTTATTGTGCGATGTGTCTGACTTGAGCCTGGTATCCCATTTTTTGCAGCTGGAAATGATGATGAAGCTCGCATCTGGAGTGTTTCAACTGGTGCCTTGCTGGCAGCGGCTCACCTCCCTGATTACGCTACTGCTGCTCTTTGGCCTAGATCTGGTATGTGATGTTTTATCTTGGTTTCGTTGTGATTTCGACCCCTTCATTCACATATTGAGCTATATGCATATATTGTTTCCATGTTTGCTGGTTATGAAAATGGTATGTCTGACTTTCCAGATGGTATATTTCTTGGTACATGCAACTCTTTGTGCTTCTTAGATTTCTCAATGTAGTACACTTGCACATCGAAAATAATTGCAATTCTTACCTAACCGCCACGAAGTGAATTCCAGCTTGGCGACTCTTACTGCCAACTAATCGCCACGTGGCATCGGCTCCAGCCACATGTCTCCTCGCCCATGTCTCCGAAGCTTTCGCAACACATTCCAGCCACATGTAACAAGGCGACATGACGATGTCGCTGCTGTTCCGCCGTTGAATTGATAATTTTGCCGTTTACTGTACCTGATTCCGCCTGCCACATTATCCATTAAATTTGCCCTTGAGGGGTTAGCAGAGCGGTTTTATGCGATATAATATGATATTATTTAACTTCTGATGCTTCGAATCTGCTCTTGCTGCCTCGTCTTCTCGTCTGGCTGAGGACGCGTTACAATTGCAACACCGGGGAGGGTCGGAACCGAACACCGAAAATGTGTGCGTCGCGTATGAAAAACATGTTTCAATCTGCATGAGCAGTGCGTCACGACGGATTTGCAAGTGGGCCATGCCAAGGGTACACCCAGCTTCTAACGCAAGAGCCGTGCTTCGCTGGCGCGTCGTACAGTTTCGTCTGGCTTGTGTCGATGTCATCCTGTTACCACATCGGAAGTGGCCGACGGTATGCGACGGCGATTGATCGTGGCTGGCACTGGTGGCGCGATTTCGCTTCCCTCGCTGCCACTCGCACGATCGATGTGGCATTTCGAGCCATACGATCTCGTCAATCTGTAAGTTCACGATCTTCGCGTCAAGATAAACGAAATCAGGATACAAGTTTTTCGCCAATTGGCGAAGAGACTGTACATTGTGAACACCGAACCTATACAGCCTCGGTGTTGCAATTGTGACGCGGCCTGACTGACAAGACAAGCCTCTGGCTCGTTTTTCTGCTCCCAGCTGCGCCTGTGGGACGGGACACATCACGGTATGGTAGTATGGCTGCTGAGCCAAGCTCAACACCCTCCGTTTGAGTCTGTATACTTCGCCGCATTTCGCCTAGCACCATAATGTGCTGTGTCTTGGTCTAGCGTTTTAGCTGGTGATAAATCATCCGCAACTGCACGTTGCGATCGCGTTTCGCTGCACGCTTTTGGAAAAACATGTTCCTGGTAACCTGAGGAACAAGCTGCGCTTGTAGACTAGGACCACTCATTGCGGTGCAGACGATAAGGATAATTTAGTTTACGCGTTTCGTGTCGTTTCCTAAGCAGCCATGGCGCTCACGGCTTTGCACCAATCGGCCTCGTTGCGTGCCGTCCGTCTATCTCCTTCCTACTCTTCCGAACGCCACGTCAGCGGAAGCTCTCCATTAGAATCACAGCTGTCGCTTCTATCCGGAACGGCATTTCAGCAGCAGTCTCTCAGCGCTCCCAAGCTTGCATGGCAGCAAAAGCAGCAGCAACGTCAACGGCAGAGATTTATCGGTTCATCGGCTGAAACAGCGGCTGGGAGGGCGACGACGGTGACGGCGACTTTGGCGTCGGAGAGCGAGGCTGCGAAGGCGGGTGCGACGCCGGCGAATTCAGGAGAATCGAGGCTCGCGAAGGTAACACGTCATACTTCGTTTTGTCGAAGAGAGGTGTGGTAGTAATAAGCAACGTTGATTTGGCATGAAGGGAGTTGAAATAGTATCAATGAGTAACCATTGTGGGGAATTAAAAGTTACCCTATCGTATCGCCGTACACCAATGAATGCTCTAAACATTTACCCCGTTTTCCGCGTCAACAGCGGTTGAATTTCAAGAACTCTAACGCATTTTGGTTACGATTTTACTTCAATCGAACTCCTGTTCCCTCTCCTCTCCCCTCTCCCCTCAACCCATTCCTCACAATTTTCCCCAGGTGCCCATTGACCGAATCCGCAACTTCAGCATCATCGCGCACATCGACCACGGAAAGTCGACGCTGGCCGACAAGCTGCTCGAGACCTCAATTCCTTTCATCCCCGCCCCCCCTTCCCCCTCTACCCGCAAAATTTCCCACCCCCTTTCCCCTTTCTCCGCTTCCCTCCAGGTCCCCATTGAATGAATCCGCAACTTCAGCATCATCGCGCACATCGACCATGGCAAGTCGACCCTGGCTGACAAACTGCTCGAGACCACAATTCCTTCTCTCCCAAGTACCCATTCCCGTGTCCCCCCGTTTCCCCCAATCCATACACCTCCCCCCAGGTGCCCATCGAGCGGATCCGCAACTTCAGCATCATCGCGCATATCGACCACGGCAAGTCGACCCTGGCCGACAAGCTGCTCGAGACGACGGGCACGGTGCAGGCAAGGGAGATGAAGGAGCAATTTCTCGATAACATGGATCTGGAACGAGAGCGAGGGATCACCATAAAGCTGCAGGTAACAGCATTGTGGGGAACAGGCAGGGTTTAGCAAACAGCGTGGTGGTAGGTGCGAGGGAGATGAAGGAGCAGTTCCTCGATCAAACTGCAGGTGGGTAGGGTTGCTGTTAAATTGCATTGTGAGATGTGATGCAACGGTGCAGGCGTGAAAGGTAGAGGACCCGTTTCTGGATAACACTGAGCTGGGGCGAGAGCAAGGGATAACCTTTAAACTGTGGCTCAACACCTTTTTTCTTAACAGCTTCTCCCATTGATCACAATGCAATGCTGCTTCATCTAATGATGTTGCTCCTGCATAGCACGTTACTCCCATCATTCCAGCCAACCCTTTCCAAAGAAGCGATGATGCCGCAATAAGGCCGAAATGACAGCTGCCAGGCGGCAGGCAGTGACTGTTCCGTTGACTTTGACTTCGTCAACGGTCGAGTCCCTGCCTTGCTTTCCCTTGGCTGCGAGCGTGACATGTGCGCACAGCGAGCAAAGGTTGATCCGCTTTTCTCTGAGCTTCTGAGTGAAAAAACGGGAGGGGAAAGGAATGCAGAACGGTACTGCCAGTCAGACGTAGTGGCTTGTTGTGGGCTGGTTGCAAGGATCGAAATGTCTTTTGAGTTGACTCAAAAGTCAGCACGTGGCGGGTTGCTTGCTGTGGGCTGGTTGCAAGGATCGAAAAGAGGAAGGACATGAATTGCTGCCACCTGCCCCTGCCTGCTGCACCCTCTCCCTCTCTCACTCCTCTGGGGTGGATAGGGAAGAGGGGCACTTGCGAGGGCCGGGCGAGGCGAGCAAAGAGTATGACGTCCGTTACACTTGATATGAGCAACCCAAGGCATGATCTTTGTGATGGGCAAAAGGATTGGCTTTTGACGGGAGACAGCCTTTCGATTCATGGGCGAGGAATATTCAATATTGGGTTGGGGTGTATCTGTTGTTCGTAATTTACCGACTGTTGTCACACTGTAAATGTCTCTGGGAGAAGCTATGATGATGACTGGAATGGTTGGTGAGTTCTGGAGTCTTATTGTTCCTTAGCTCCCTCCACCCGCCCTCCCACCCACCACCAGTCAGCCCGCCCCTGTCCCTTCCTCTCCTCTCTCCACTCTCTCCTCCCTCCAATCACTCCTCCCCACGTCTGCACCACCACCCTTCTCTCTGCTCTAATCCACCTGTGCTGGCAGCGTGACAGACAGTTAGCCAAATCCGAAGGCCTTCCTGCTCCTCTCCTCCTCTCCCTCCCTTCCCCGCCTCTCCCTCTTTCCCCAACCCTTGAATCCCCTTCTTCTGCAAGAGGGGGTTCACGGGGAGGGTGGAGAGGGGAGGGGTGGGCGGGGTTTGGGAGGGCTGGAGATGGTTGCAGGGAGGCCTGATGACGCGAAAATGGTTGTCCGAGATCAAAGGTGTATGGAAGCCTGGTATATGCCGCTGGTAGATCCCGAGCAAGAGAGAGTGGGTGAAGTGGAGCGACGTGAGGGGAGTGTATTGTGCTTGGGGTGGAAGGTGATGTTAGGGGGAAGGCGGTGAGGGGGGTTGGCTGCCCTGTGTGTGGGGGGGGGGGGCTTGCTTGGGGCTCGCTTGCTTGCAAGCTGCCTCAAGGGAGCTGCGGGTGCTTCTGACTGACTGACTGCATCGTCGGCAGATGATGAAAGAAATCCAAATCCTCTGAGCTTCTTCTTTGAATGCTTCTGTGCGTGGCTGGGGTTGGGCTGGCTGTGGCTGTCTGTCTGTCTCTGTCTGTGGCCGTCTAATGCTTGATGCATGCTTGCTTGCAACTTGCAAGCTGCCTTAAGGGAGCTGAGGGTGCTGCTGACTGACTGACTGACTGACTGACTGACTACAGTGTCTGCAGCAGATGAAGGAAGCAAATCTACGCCCTCTGAGCTTCTTCCTTGAATGCTTCTGTGCGTGTCTGTGGCTGTCTGTGGCCGTCTGTGGCTGTCGGTTTTGCTCGGAACCGTGTCTGGATTTCGTGCTCTAGTGCGTCACCCACACACGCCGTTCCCCCAGCTCTCACTGCTTCGTTGGTGGTTAAAGCGGGCTCGTTTGGTTGGTGAAACCTTCTAGTTCCATTGGGGTAATCGAGGGGCTGAGAGATGAGTTGAGGCGTTGTGAAGTGAAGAATGTGGGTGGGGTGGGACTGACTGGCTGCGCTATGGGACCGACCGACTGTGGGACTTCCTCACCATGCCCGGCCTAGCCATGTAATCCCCCCTGGCCCTCACCTGTGGTACTCTACAACCATACGTTCATAACTCTCTCTCTCTCTCTCTCTCTCTCTCTCTCTCTCTCTCTCTCTCTCTCTCTCTCTCTCTCTCTCTCTCTCGCCCTCTTGTCTGCCCCACTTCCACCCTCTCCACCCACCCCAACCTCCCAGGCAGCGCGCATGCGGCATGTGTCAAGGGTGGACGGCAAGGCGTACTGTCTGAACCTCATAGACACGCCCGGCCACGTGGACTTCAGCTACGAGGTGTCTCTTCCCTCACCCCTTGTGCACACACAATCCCCCCTTCTTCCCCACCCCACCCCCAGGCAGCGCGCATGCGGCATGTGTCAAGGGTGGACGGCAAGGCGTACTGTCTGAACCTCATTGACACGCCCGGCCACGTGGACTTCAGCTACGAGGTGTCGCGCTCGCTGGCTGCCTGTGAGGGCGCGCTGCTCGTGGTGGACGCGTCTCAGGGCGTGGAGGCACAGACGCTGGCCAATGTGTATTTGGCTATAGAGGGGAACCTGGAAATTATTCCGGTGAGTTTTTGCCCGAGTGTGCTGTTTGATTGAGACGTCTCAAAACGAGTTTTTGCCCGAGTGTGCTGTTTGATTGAGACGTCTCAAAACGAGTTTTTGCCCGAGTGTGCTGTTTGATTGGAGGGCCAGTGGGCACAGTGTCGCGCCCGCTGGCTGCCTGTGAGGGCGCGCTGCTCGTGGTGGACGCGTCTCAGGGTGTGGAGGCACAGACACTGGCGAATGTCTACCTGGCTACCTGACTGCATCCCTGTTCCCCTGCTCCTCAACCGTCTGTCACGTTGTACTGCAGGTGCTGAACAAAATCGACCTGCCAGGGGCGGATCCGGAGCGAGTGAGAGCAGAGGTGGAGGAGGTGCTGGGGCTCGATGGAGCAGACGCCCCATCCTGTGTTCCGCCAAGGAGGGCATCTCTAGTCTTCAACCGTCTGTCACGTTCCTCTTCCTACCATTGCTCCCCTCCCCCTCTTGATCAGGTGCTCAACAAGATTGATCTCCCAGGGGCGGACCCGGAGCGGGTGAGAGCGGAGGTGGAGGAGGTGGTGGGGCTGGACGCGGCAGACGCCATCCTGTGTTCCGCCAAGGAGGGCGTGGGCATTCAGGACATCCTCGAATCCATCATCGCCAAAGTGCCGCCCCCTGCTCCTACTAGAGACCAGCCGCTGCGCTGCCTAATCTTTGACAGGTATGAGGGGAAAGGAACCAATTGAGAATTGTGGGAGGGGTTGGGCTGGGTGTGTCATGTTCCTCTGTTAAAGACAAGGCACCACACGACTGCACTGGTTGGTCACTGAAACACTTGGTTCAGTTCAGACGCCATTCTGTGTTCCGCCAAGGCAGGGCGTGGGCATTCAGGACATCCTCGAATCCATCATTGCCAAAGTGCCGCCCCCTGCTCCTACGAGAGACCAGCCCCTGCGCTGCCTGATTTTCGACAGGTATGAGGGGAATGGAATGGGTGGGAGGGCAGGAAGGGTCGCAGGGACTGGGTGTGTCCTGTTCTTGAAGACAAGGCCACCACCACTCCACAGTGGCAGCGTGCAGTTCATGGCGAGTGGCTGCCTCGCTCACTGCTTGCCCTCCTCTATTCCCCTCCCCCCCCCCCCCTTTTTCTATTATCCCCCACCAGCTACTATGACCCGTATCGGGGCGTGATAGTGTATTTCAGGGTGGTGGATGGGGAGGTGCGCAAGGGAGACAGCGTGCGGTTTATGGCGAGTGGATGCCTCACCGCCTGCTCTCCACTCCTCTCCTCTCCTCTCCTCTTCCCCTGCCATCTTCCCCACCAGCTACTATGACCCATACAGGGGTGTGATTGTATATTTCAGGGTGGTGGACGGGGAGGTGCGCAAGGGGGACAGCGTGCGGTTCATGGCGAGTGGCAAGCAGTACGAGGTGGACGAGCTGGGTGTGCTGTCGCCCACTCAGATGCCCGTCGACTGCTTGTATGCTGGCGAGGTGAGTCACTTGATGCTGTGGTGGTGGTGAACATGGGGAGGTGTGGGTGCTTGAGGGCATAGGGCAAGCAGTATGAGGTGGACGAGTTGGGCATCCTGTTGCCCACTCAGATGCCCGTGGATTGTCTCTTTGCAGGCGAGGTGGGTGGGCTGACTCGCAGTGTGTCTCTGCTGTGCTGCTGGTGAGGTGAGCATTGGGAGGGGTGGGATGTGGAGGGCAAGCAGTACGAGGTGGACGAGCTGGGCGTGCTGTCGCCCACGCAGATGCCTGTTGACTGCTATACGCTGGCGAGGTGAGATTGATCTAGCTGCCTGCTGAGAGCATGATAGGGTGAGGGGTGGGTGGTGGAGGGCAAGCAGTACGAGGTGGACGAGCTGGGGGTGCTCTCGCCCACTCAGATGCCCTTCGACTGCCTCTATGCTGGAGAGGTGAGATGGAGGATGTAACCTGTGCCATGATGGGAGAGTGGTTGGTGTGAGGGGTCGGCGGCTACTCTCTTAACTACCTAGCGGCTAGGAGCCACCATCACCCACGCAGGGGGAGCGGACAAGGGCGGGCCGGCAGCCAAGGAGTCGCTGCCCGGGTAGAGGGAGGCGGTGATGGTGGTGTTCTGCGGGCCAAAAATTGATCTCTCTCACCCAACCAATGGAGCCTGCGATCCTCTCCCTCTCCTCTCCTTTCTCCCCTCCCTCCACTGCTTCCCTCTTTCCTCCCGTTTGGCCACAGGTGGGGTATCTGGCAGTGTCCATCCGCCAAGTGGCGGACGCAAGGGTGGGATATACCATAACCGATGTACCATAGCCAAGTGGTGGGACGCAAGGGTGGGATGCAGGTGGTGCGGGCAAGGGTGGGCCACCCGCTAAAGAGTCTCTCCCCGAGTGCAGGGAGGTGGTGCCGATGGTTTTCTGCCCCTTGTCAACCCCTCATCAACCATCCACCCTGCTTTCTTCTGTTCTGTCTGTGGATCCTCTCGCCACAGGTGGGCTACCTGGCAGCGTCCATCCGTCAAGTAGCAGACGCGAGGGTGGGAGACACCATCACCCACGCGGGAGGAGCGAGCAAGGGTGGCCCACCAGCCAAGGAGGGGTTGCCCGGGTACAGGGAGGCGGTGCCGATGGTGTTCTGCGGGCTCTTTCCCATCGACGCCGACCAGTTCCCCTCGCTAAGAGAGGCACTGGAGAGGCTTCAACTCAATGACGCTGCGCTGCAGGTGAGGGGTGGGAGGGGGTGGGAGGGGGTGGGAGGGAGTGGGAGGGAGTGGGAGGGAGTGGGAGGGAGTGGGAGGGAGTGGGAGGGAGTGGGAGGGAGTGGGAGGGAGTGGGGAGCAGATGCAAGCTCTTCCCCATCGACGCCGACCAGTTCCCCTCTTTGAGAGAGGCGCTGGAGAAACGTCAGTTGAATGATGCTGCGCCGCAGGTAGGAGGCCCGTGCACGTGGGGAGGGAGTGTTGAGGGGGTGGGAAGGGGTTGGAGGGAGTGGATATGGGTGACACCGTCACTGCCGACCAGTTCCCCTCTTTGAGAGAGGCGCTGGAGAAGCTACAGCTGAATGACGCTGCCCTGCAGGTGAGGAGAGAGGGTGGCGAGACAGTGGGTGGTGGCACTGAGTTAGCAGTTCCCGGCGCTCAGAGAGGCGCTGGAGAAACTGCAGCGCCACAACGCTGCCCTGCAGGTGAGGATAGGGATGAGCAAGGGGCGAACACGAACACATCCGTTTGCCGAACCGAACACTGTTCGGTTCGGCGAACACTTTAAGCAAAAACACGTGTTCGCCGTTCGCCTGTGAAGGCGTGTTCGGGCAAACCTCGAACACGTTCGTGTTCGTCGCGGGGCAAATTGCAGCAGCGGCCCGAACACGAACGTGCTCGGGCGAACCTCAAACACTGTTTGGCGAACACTTTAAGCAAGTTCGAGGCGAACCGAACAGGTGTTCGCCCTTGTGCTCATGTCTAGGTGAGGAGAGAGAGGGGAGAAGAGGGTGGGAGGGAATATATGGAGTGGGAATGCGTGGTGGCAGAGAAGGTAGTAGGGTGGATAGAGCGGGGGGGAGGAGACTAGAGGCATCATCGTCACCCCTCTTTTACCTTCCCCTCATATTTTTTCCCCATCGCTTGTCTTTCCCTCTCTTCCCCCATCGCCTGTCGTCTCCTCTCTCTTTCTTCGACAGTTCGAGCCGGAGAGCAGCAGCGCCATGGGCTTTGGCTTCCGCTGTGGCTTCCTGGGCCTGCTGCACATGGACGTGGTGCAGGTGAGGGGAGTGAGGCATGGTGGCATGGTGGCATGGTGGCATGGTGAGGGCAGTGCTCTTGGTATGTTGGCATGGTCTGCTGCACATGGGCATGGTGCAGGTGAGGGGAGTGAGGCATGGTGGCATGGTGCAGGTGATGGGAGAGAGGCACGTGGTGCAGGTGAGGGGAAAGGGGTAGCAGCATGAAGGCATGGTAACATGGTTTGCTGCGCATGCACGTCATACAGGTGAGGTGGAGGGGAGTACTAGTTGCATGAAGGCATCTATGACTCCAGCTATGGCGGACATTTTTCCCAATGTGTGGTTGGAGCCCCACAGGAGCCCCTCGGGCGTTTGGAGCAAGGTTACGGCCTCGACCTGATCACGACAGCTCTCAGGGTGGTGTGGTGTACCACGTGGTGAAGCGTTGAGAGGGATGGGTTATGAGTCCTGATATCTGTTACTCTTGTTTCCTGAAACATGTGCCTTTCTTTACAAGAGCGGCTGGAGCGAGAGTATGGCCTCGATCTCATTACAATGGCACCCAGCGTGGTGTACCGCGTGGTGAAGCGGGACGGGTGGCTTATGAGTCAAGCACTCGCATTTCCTCTCCCCTCATTGCTCCCCCACAGGAGCGGTTGGAGCGAGAGTACAGCCTCGACCTAATCACAACTGCTCCCAGCGTGGTGTACCGCGTGGTGAAGCGGGATGGGTCGGTGGTGGAGTGCTCCAACCCCGCTGACATGCCCGATGCTTCCATTCGCTCTGAGATCCAGGAGCCTTATGTGCGGGTGAGTGCAGCCCTGCGTGCGGGTGATTTGATTCCTCTTCTAGGGTCTCGTACCATGTGGTGAAGCGGGACGGGTCGGTGGTGGAATGTTCCAACCCCACTGACATGCCCGACGTCTCCGTGCGCACTGAGATCCAGGAGCCCTACGTGCGGGTGAGTGCAGCCCTACGTGCGGGTGAGTGAGTCGCGTGGGGGGTGTTCGTGGGAGCAAGGACTAGTCACTAGTGTTTAGATACGCGTGTGGTGTATCGGAACCAGATACCTCCGTGCGCTCTGAGGTCCAGGAGCCCTACGTGCGGGTGAGTGCAGCCCTGCGTGCGGGTGAGTTTGTGAGCGGTGAGTAGGCTCCCTTTATGGGGTTCACCATGCCTCTTCCAGCTGACTGGTGAAGCGCGACAGGGCGGTGGTGTAGTGCTCAAAACCCGCTGACATGCCCGACGCCTCCGTGCGCACTGAGATCCAGGAGCCCTACGTGCGGGTGAGTGAGTGGCGTGGGGGGTGTTTGTGGGAGCAAGGACTAGTCACTAGGGTTTAGATACGCGTGTGGTATTTAGGTTGCTCCACCACCACCCACCCGTGCCCCTCTGACATGCCCGACGCCTCCGTGCGCACTGAGATCCAGGAGCCCTACGTGCGGGTGAGTGAGTGGCGTGGGGGGTGTTTGTGGGAGCAAGGACTAGTCACTAGGGTTTAGATACGCGTGTGGTATTTAGGTTGCTCCACCACCACCCACCCGTGCCCCGCTGACATGCCCGACGCCTCCGTGCGCACTGAGATCCAGGAGCCCTACATGTGAGTGAGTGTGATGGGGGGTGTGATGGGTGAGTGTGGTGTGGGGGCAGAAGGACGAACTAGATTCAGGAGCCCTACATGCGAGTGAGTGTGATGGGGGGTGTGATGGGTGAGTGTGGTGTGGGGGCAGAAGGACGAACTAGATTCAGGAGCCCTACATGCGAGTGAGTGTGATGGGGGGTGTGATGGGTGAGTGTGGTGTGGGGGCAGAAGGACGAACTAGATTCAGGAGCCCTACATGCGGGTGAGTGTGATGGGGGGTGTGATGGGTGAGTGTGGTGTGGGGGCAGAAGGACGAACTAGATTCAGGAGCCCTACATGCGAGTGAGTGTGATGGGGGGTGTGATGGGTGAGTGTGGTGTGGGGGCAGAAGGACGAACTAGATTCAGGAGCCCTACATGCGGGTGAGTGTGATGGGGGGTGTGATGGGTGAGTGTGGTGTGGGGGCAGAAGGACGAACTAGATTCAGGAGCCCTACATGCGGGTGAGTGTGGGAGGAAGGGACATCTTAACCTCCAAGGAGTACATCGGCACGCTCATGGACCTGGCACAGGAGAGGAGAGGCGAGTACAGAGCAGCAGACATGTGTGCCCTTCCCTCCCTCCCTCGCCCTTCACCCACTGTAGCTGGACATCCTAACCTCCAAGGAGTACATCGGCACGCTAATGGACCTGGCACAGGAGAGGAGAGGCGAGTGAAGTAAGACATGCATGCCCCTCCTCCCTCCCGTATCTGCTGCTTCCTCTCCCATCAGCTGGACATTCTGACCCCGCACGCTCATGGACCTGGCACAGGCGAGGCGGGGTGAAGGGAAGACATGTATGCCTTTCCTTCTGTAGAAAGTGCAGTTTTGAGACGTCTCAAAACTAGACGTCTCAAAACTAGACGTCTCAAAACAACTAGACGTCTCAAAACTAGACGTCTGAAAACTAGACGTCTGAAAACTAGACGTCTGAAAACTAGACGTCTGAAAACTAGACGTCTCAAAACTAGACGCCTCAAAACTAGACGTCTCAAAACTAGACGTCTCAAAACTAGACGTCTCAAAACTAGACGTCTCAAAACTAGACGTCTCAAAACTAGACGTCTCAAAACTAGACGTCTCAAAACTAGACGTCTCAAAACTAGACGTCTCAAAACTAGACGTCTCAAAACTAGACGTCTCAAAACTAGACGTCTCAAAACTGCACTTTCTACAAGAGGCGGGGTGAAGGGAAGACATGTATGCCTTTCCTTCTTGTATCCTCTGCTTCCCCTCCCCCATCAGCTGGACATCCTGACCCCCAAGGAGTACATCGGCACGCTCATGGACCTGGCACAAGAAAGGAGAGGCGAGTTTGTGGAGATGAAGTATGTGACTGAGTCGCGCACCACCCTGTCGTATGACACGCCACTTGGAGAGGTACGTGCAGGGGCAGTGGGGTTTACGGGGGCTAGGGGGGAATAAGGGGAAGTGGAGGGGCAGTAGGAGGGGGAGTGGATGAAGGAGAGGAGAGGCGAGTTTGTGGAGATGAAGTATGTGACGGAGTCCCACACCACACTGTCCGATGACACGCCACTTGGTGAGGTAAGAGGGGGCATTATGGGGGAAGTATGGGCCACTGGGGAGGGCTAGGAGGGAGTAATAGGGGGAGAGGGGGAAAAAGGGGGGCTCGAGTTCGTGGAGATGAAGTATGTGACTGAGTCCCACACCACACTGTCCTGTGATTCCCCACTTGGCGAGGTAAGAGCAGGGGCGCCTCAAAAATCGCTGGGGGACTAGGGGAGGATAGGGTTCGGTGGCTGAGGATATGGGGCTGACGGGACAGGCAGGCTTGCATGAAGGTCGTGGAAATGAGGCATGATGCTGAGTCCCGCACCACGCTGTCCTATGACACACGGTCACACACCACTTGGAGAGGTACAGGGGGAAGGAGGAGGGCACTTGGTGGGACTAGAAGACAGTGGGGGGACAGTGAGGGGCACTAGGGGGCAGTAGGGCAGCTTATACCTATCTCTTATGCTTACATCCGTGTCACTCCCTTTCTCCCCGTGTGCTCACGGCGTGATGCAGATGGTGGAGGGTTTCTTTGACCAGCTCAAGTCACGCGCCAAACCTGTAAATACAATATCCCGTCGCCTTACCTCCATATCTCCGCCCCTTTTCGCTTCCCCAATGCCGCGCCCTGGCAGGTGGTGGGGGATTTCTTTGACCAGCTCAAGTCGCGCACCAAGGGATACGCCAGCATGGAGTACAAAGTCATCGGGTATGCTCCTTTTACTGAGTCATTTTGGGCATTCTAATATGGAGTGTAAAGTCATTGGGTATGCATGCTTCTTGTACTGAGTCGGGTTGGGCTGGGCGTGCTAATATGGAGTACAATGTCATCGGGTATGCTTCTTGTACTGAGTCAACTGAGCATTCTAATATGGAGTACAAATTTATCGGGTATGCTCCTTGTACTGAGTCGGTTGGCCATTCTAATATGGAGTACAAAGTCACCAGGTGTGCTTCTTACTCTTACGGTCGTTCGGTCACCAGGTGAGCAATGTAGTGAAGATGAAGATGGACATTTAGCTCAACGGAGAGGCTGTTGAAGCTGCTGCCAGCCATCATACGCTTCCCCACCGCTTCCCACCTCTCCCTACCACTTCTCACCCCACACCCTCTCAGCTACCGCAAGAGCAACCTTGTGAAGATGGACATTCAGCTCAATGGGGAGGCTGTGGAGCCGCTGTCGGCCATTGTGCACCAGGAAAAGGTGGGTGAGAGGGTAAAGTACACATCAGGATGCTGTTTTTTTTTCCGGTATTTTCCCCTTACTGCTGCTGGCTGCTGAGTCAATACAATCTAACCATGTCATGTTTCCCCCGGACCAGGCGTATGGAGTGGGAGGAGCTCTCACACAGAAGCTTAAGGAGCTCATTCTTTTTTAGTCAGCTCAAAAGTCATGTTGTAACCATGTCACGTTTCCCCTGACCAGGCCTACGGAGTGGGCAGAGCACTCACACAGAAGCTCAAGGAGCTCATTCCCCGACAGATGTTCAAAATCCCCATCCAGGTGCGCTCAGTGTTTACAATCCCCATCCAGGTGAATTCAGTGTTCACTGCTCGCTCCACCCAAGTTTCATGGTATATTTTCTCTGCGCGTGGTCCTGTCAAGGTGATGTCCGCTAGTCTCTGCACAGTCCCCATAACACGTCTCATGCTCCATTCCTCAGGCATATGTGCATGTCAGATTTTCTGCTTGTGTGTGTGTGTGTTAATTGTGAAGTGTGTGAGCCCACTGCACATCTTGCTTCCTCCTGACCTTGTGCTACCTTTAACCTTTCTTGACCAGGCGTGTGTTGGAACCAAGGTCATTGCGAGTGAAACAATAGCAGCCATTCGGAAAGACGTTCTAGCAAAGTGCTATGGTGAGTACATTAATGTTATTTGCACGTCTATTAGTCTCTATATTGCGAATAATATATGTGCTTGACTGGATGGTGTGCTGGTTGCAGGTGGTGACATTTCCCGAAAGAAGAAATTGTTGAAGAAGCAAGCAGCGGGAAAGAAGAGAATGAAAGCGCTTGGACGAGTTGAGGTACCTCAAGATGCCTTCATGGCTGTGCTTAGACTTGAGAAGGAAAGCTTGTGATAAGACATCGTGCCAAATATATTCGATTATTCTTATACAAGGAGCATCTTGATGGTTTTATGGTTAATGAGATTAGGTTTGGGGCCTGTTGATCAACAGACAGAATGGTAGTGTAGAAGAGTGGCTGGAAGTTTGCACGTTCGTACACCATTCCGAAGATGTCAGGTCTATCCTCCAAAAGCTCTAATATCGAAGGTTTAAATTGGCGACTCGACGAGGTTCGAATCAGTGATGGCTCGGCTGAACCTACTTCCACATCTCGACTCCCATTGGCTCCAAGGTGGCGCGGAGGCCTCGCGCGGAGTTCCGTTCCGAACCGAACCATTGCTGGCTGCTGTGGTTTGGGTTTGGGTGCTGCTGTCTGATCTGATTTGGTTCGGACTGGTCCGGACGGATGTCGGTGGTGTTGTCAGCACCGAGCCGAAAGAACGACGTGGTAGACGCCTCTTAGTATTTCCTGTAACGCATGTAACCGTACGGGAAAACTCTAAACCCCTATGCACACCGAACCACCGCCTTGAAAGCGTATGTGCTTTGAACTGAAACACTCTCTTCTCCACACCATCGCTGATTTCCAGTATAGACTAGCCATAGTACTGTACAGTACATAGAAGCCACCACTGTGGCTGTTGGCTGTCTCGACTCTCAACGTCTGGTAATACCCCGCCGCGAGCACCGTTCTGTACAGTATCAATTCCGCTATGTCGACAGTGACGCTCTTTGATACGGCAGTGACAGTTCTTGTTACGAAAAAAAATCGCTGGAATCTGCGAGAGAACGGGACGGTCCGTTTGGTTGCGCGTTCTTCTTACTTGTAATCCCTTGTGCTGTGACAAAGCTCACCACTGCCGTCCGCGCTGTTATTCTAAACAACTCTGTCCTGAATTCTAGAAACAAACCATCGTAAAATCACTCAGCCTGGCTCGGAGCAGTCAAGCGCAGATGAACCGCGCTGCGACAAGTTTTTTGCTGGTGTCATGTTTAAGCCTACTTGGTCACTTGACCGCCGTCCCTCTCGAGCCTTCGCAACAGCAGCTCGCCGTTGCTTCAGACTGTGGCGATCTGCCGAAATGGTCACCCTCGGTGACACCGGTTCTAGCTCCCACCGCTGGTTGCGGCGCTGCGGGCAGTACAGCTGCCCTTGGGAGCATTTCATTCCGAGATGATCTGAAGAAGACCAGCTCACAGCCGTCCGATCAGCAGCCGCACCTGCCGACTCAGCGGCGACCGTGCGATTGCGCGATAGGTTCTGTAGCCAGCCCACCCTGGCGAACGCTTGGCCAGGCTGCGATTGCGAAACCGTGCGATTGTGGTTACCCTTCTGTTCGCAACCTTGTATGGCGGAAGCGAGATCCGAGGAGCTCAATAGAAATAGTTACGGAAATGGAAACAGAAACAGCAGCGGAAACAGCAGCGGAAACGGAAACGGAATTGCAAACGGGATGGTACTTGGAGAGGCACTTAGAAAACCGGTACTTAAAGCAGCAGTACTTAAAGAGGCGGTACTTAAAGGACGTGTCGCCAGCGGAGCCGTTGGCAGTGAACCGCACGTGGAGAGTGGACCCTCTGCAGCACTTCCAGTTCTACGAGGACGGCTGGGACCCCAGCAGCAAGTACTACTGGGCGGTACGTTGAATGGGCTGGTCTGGGCTGGTCTGGGCTGGTCTGGGCTGGTCTCACCCATCGTAAGCGGGTTGTGAGGACTGTCAAAGCCTCAGCAGCCAGTTCCACGAGGGCGGGACGTCACGTAGGCCGGGTATTGACTGTCGAGACGTCTCATAGCCTTGGCACGTGGAGAGTGGACCCTCTGCAGCACTTCCGGTTCTACGAGGGCGGGTGGGACCCCAGCAGCAAGTACTACTGGGCGGTATGTCATGTGCGCTTGTCCTGAGACGTCATGTAGGTAGGTTCTGACGCTTGAGACCTCATGCATGCGGGTTTTGAGGCGTGTCACAACCGTGGCACGCGGAGAGTGGACCCTCTGCCTCTGCAGCACTTCCGGTTCTACGAGGGCGGCTGGGACCCCAGCCGCAAGTACTACTGGGCGGTACGTTGAATGGGGGGGGTATTGAGACGTTATGTAGACGGGTATTGTTTGCTGGTTTTGATTTGTGTCACAACCGTGGCACGCGGAGAGTGGACCCTCTGCCTCTGCAGCACTTCCAGTACTACGAGGGCGGGTGGGACCCCAGCAGCAATACTACTGGGCGGTACGTCTCGTAGGCTACTGGGTTGTTGTACGCATGTGAATGTAGTTCTCTTCGCTCCTTTGTCTGGCCATTCATTTTGAGTCGACACAAAAGTCACCTCAGATCGGACGGACTACTGGGTTGTATTGTACGCATGAGAATACAGTTCTCTGCGCTCCTTTGTCTGGCCATTCATGTCCTGCTTCACTACAAGTGTAGAGTCTCAAGACTACAACACTCGCGCAATGTACTCTCTTTGACTTGTGAGACGTCTCAAGACTACAACACTCTCATTGAGTCGACTTCCCTCCTTCACGTGCACAGCTCACCCACAATCACCTTCCTCCCTCCCTCATCCGTCGCCCTTACTCTTCTCCCATTTCCGCTCCCTCCCTCCCCCTTTCCCTTACTTTCTTCCACCTATCCCTCCCTCCCGCCCTTATTCCCCCCTAGTGAGTAGCATGGGCGGGGTTTTCAGGTCTCATAGTGGGGGCGGGCGGCATGGATCAAACCTAGCGTGCTCTCGTCAAGTAGGTCTCCCTACCTCCCCCTCCTAACCCTCTCTCCTCCCTCCCCTCCCTTATTTCCCCCCAGTCTGTTGCATGGGCGGGGATTTACGGCCTTATAATGGGGGCGGCATGGATCGTAATCGGTATAAGCATCCTCGCTTTCGCGCTCTGCGCGTGCCTGTTCTGCCGAAAGCGCTGGAAAGAGCGTCTGGACGGCGACCCACCTGGCTACACGCGCTTTCAGATCCGCGTGCCACTTGGCGCGCTCGTATTGGCTGCAGCCTTGATCCTGTGAGTGTGCCACTTGTCAAGCTCTTATTGGTTGTAACCATCCTATCATCATGTCACCCTTGTCTTGCGTCCGTGTCTTTGCTATATGCGGTCCTGGTTCGAGCATCCGGACAGGTCACATTCCTTTCTGTTCCTTACTTTTCTCCCACTCCCCCTTCCCCTCCCTCCTCCTCCTCCTTCTCCTCCTCCTCCTCCTCCTCCTCCTCCTCCTCCTCCTCCTCCTCCTCCTTCTCCTCCTCCTCCTCCTCCTCCTCCTCCTCCTCCTCCTCCTCCTCCTCCTCCTCCTCCTCCTCCTCCTCCTTTCCTCCCCTAATCCTTGCCTCTTTTCCCTTCCCATCCCCATCCCCATTCGACCCAATTTCGCAACCCTTTGAGTCACCCAGGGTGGGAGTGGCGCTGCTGTTATCAGGAGGGGTGCAGTTCCAGAGCACCTACCGCAGTGCCACACAGTTCGCACTCGGCACCACGCAAGCCCTCGTGAGCGCCACTCACAACCTCTCAGCCGCGCTGCAACGCTCTGCCAACACCACTGTCTTCAATGCCGTGGTTCCCCGTAAGCCCTCAACCTCCCTTGCTCGAATCTCACATGTCTGTTCCACTCACAACCTCTCAGCCGCGCTGCAACGCTCCGCCAATACCACTGTCTTCAATGCCGTGGTTCCCCGTTCTCTCTTTCTGCCTCCGCTGCTCGTTGCCTCTTCCCCCTCCCCTCCCCCGCTTGCCTTGCTTGCCCCCTGCGTCACCCTCGCCACAACGCAAGCCCTCGTGGCCGCCCCACTCACAACCTCTCCCACACAGCCCCTGCATCACACTCGCTCTGCAACGCTCCGCCAACACCACCCTTTTCGGTGTCATGGTTCCCCCCGTATGCTCCCACTCTCCTGTGCTCCCACTCTCCTGTGCTCCCACTCTCCTGTGCTCCCACTCTCCTGTGCTCCCACTCTCCTTTGCTCCCACTCTCCTTTGCTCCCACTCTCCTTTGCTCCCACTCTCCGCCCAGCCGCCCCTCTGTTTCCCCCTCCCGCCCAGCCGCCACACAGCAGGCGGTGGTGCAGGGAGCAGTGCACGCGGATGTTATGGCAACAGACATCCAAGCAAGGATTGTGAACAGCTTAGGAGTCAACTCATAAGCCAACCCACCCCTCTGTTCCCCCCCTCCGCCCAGCCACCACACAGCAGGCCGTGCTACAGGGAGCAGTGCAGGCGGATGTTATGGCAACAGACATCCAAGCAAGGATTGTGAACAGCGTTGACCAGCTGGATGGATACGTGAAGATCATGTGCGTTGGTGGAGCGTTGGTGGATGGGATGGGATGTGTGCATGGTGGGATGGGTGCATGGTGGGATGGGTGCAAGATTGACGGCTGGTGTCTTGGGAATGGACTGTTGGGAATGGCTCATTGGGAGGGAGGGGGTTGCGAACAGCATTGACCGGCTGGATGGATGCGTCAAGATCGTGTGCGTTGGTTGGTGCATGCATGGTGGTGGGATGGGTGGATGGTGGACAGATGGTGTATGTATGGCTGAGATCTGTGCAAGCAAGATTGGCAGCTTGTGTGTTGGGAATGGCTGGACCGGAGGCGAGGGGGTTGTGAGCAGCGTTGTCCGGCTCGATGGATACGTCGAGACGGTGTGCGTTGGTGCATGCATGGTGGGATGAGGGGATGGGACTGACTTGATGGGAGGCGAGGGGGTTGTGAGCAGCGTTGACCGGCTCGATGGATACGTCAAGATCGTGTGCGTTGGTGCATGTATGGTGGGATGATGACAGGATGGGTGGTGCATGGTGGGATGGTGGGACGGTGAGATGGGTTGCAAGATTGATGGCTTGGGTGTTGGGACTGGCTTGATGGGAGACGAGGGGTTGTGAACAGCATTGACCGGCTGGATGGATACGTCAAGATCGTGTGCGTTGGTGCATGCATGGGGTCATTAGCTCGCTCATTGCCATGCCCTGTGAGCTATATCAGTCTATCAAACCCGCACGTCAACCGTCCCACCCACCGTGACACACCCTGTCTAAGGTTCTCCATCACTTCCCGTCACAGCACCATCACCATCCTGGTCATTAGCTCGCTCACTGCCCTGTTCTGTGAGCTGCATCCGCCAAACCAGGTGACTCTTGAGTCGACTCAATAGTGCCCTGCCCTGTGTACTGCATCCACCAAACCCATGACAACTCTTTCCGCCCTGTGACACTGCCCGTTCCGTTCTCCACTCCACTATCCTCCCCCACCTCCCTTGGCATAACAGCACCATCACCATCCTCGTTATTGGCTTGCTCACTGCTCTCCTTGTGCTGCTGGGTCTGGGTGAGTGCTGCTGGGACTAGGTGAGTGCTGCTGGGTCTGACGAGATGAGTGCTGCTAGGTCTGACGAGATGAGTGCTGCTGGGTCTGACTGGGTGAGTCTGGGAAACTTGGCTAGTGGTGAGTGCCACAGAAAATTTCCTAGAACGCTCCCTCAAGCTTCTGGCTGACACCGAATTTCAGCCAGAGCATGGGTGCCACAGAACACCTTGCACAAATTTAGTTTTGAGACGTGCTCGTCTCAAAACCGAACTCGTCTCAAAACTAGAAACCGAACACCTTGCACAAATTTTCCTACATGCAGCACCCAACCCCCACTTATTTCATGTCACAATCCAAACTCTCGCAATCTAAACTTCTCAATTGAAGTATTTGAATAGCCTAGTAGTGGCCATTCCTGTGTCCACCCTTGCCTTGCCCCTCCCTGCTCTCCTTTTGAGTCGACTAAAAAACGATCCCAACTCTCGCAATCTAAACTTCTCAATTGAAGTATTTGAATAGCCTAGTAGTGGCCACTCCTGTGTCCACCCTTGCCTTGCCCCTCCCTGCTCTCTCCCCCCGATACGTGCTGCAGTTGCCGCTTTCTCTGGTCCAGGGGTCGGTTGCTAGCATCACACAAGTGAACGACTGAGACGTCTCAAAAGTCTTTTGAGACGTCTCAAAACTGGTCCAGTGGTCGGTTGCTAGCATCACACAAGTGAACGACTGAGACGTCTCAAAAGTCTTTTGAGACGTCTCAAAACTGGTCCAGTGGTCGGTTGCTAGCATCACACAAGTGAACGACTGAGACGTCTCAAAAGTCTTTTGAGACGTCTCAAAACTGGTCCAGGGGTCGGTTGCTAGCATCACACAAGTGAACGACTGAGACGTCTCAAAAGTCTTTTGAGACGTCTCAAAACTGGTCCAGTGGTCGGTTGCTAGCATCACACAAGTGAACGACTGAGACGTCTCAAAAGTCTTTTGAGACGTCTCAAAACTGGTCCAGTGGTCGGTTGCTAGCATCACACAAGTGAACGACTGAGACGTCTCAAAAGTCTTTTGAGACGTCTCAAAACTGGTCCAGTGGTCGGTTGCTAGCATCACACAAGTGAACGACTGAGACGTCTCAAAAGTCTTTTGAGACGTCTCAAAACTGGTCCAGGGGTCGGTTGCTAGCATCACACAAGTGAACGACTGAGACGTCTCAAAAGTCTTTTGAGACGTCTCAAAACTGGTCCAGTGGTCGGTTGCTAGCATCACACAAGTGAACGACTGAGACGTCTCAAAAGTCTTTTGAGACGTCTCAAAACTGGTCCAGTGGTCGGTTGCTAGCATCACACAAGTGAACGACTGAGACGTCTCAAAAGTCTTTTGAGACGTCTCAAAACTGGTCCAGGGGTCGGTTGCTAGCATCACACAAGTGAACGACTGAGACGTCTCAAAAGTCTTTTGAGACGTCTCAAAACTGGTCCAGTGGTCGGTTGCTAGCATCACACAAGTGAACGACTGAGACGTCTCAAAAGTCTTTTGAGACGTCTCAAAACTGGTCCAGTGGTCGGTTGCTAGCATCACACAAGTGAACGACTGAGACGTCTCAAAAGTCTTTTGAGACGTCTCAAAACTGGTCCAGTGGTCGGTTGCTAGCATCACACAAGTGAACGACTGAGACGTCTCAAAAGTCTTTTGAGACGTCTCAAAACTGGTCCAGTGGTCGGTTGCTAGCATCACACAAGTGAACGACTGAGACGTCTCAAAAGTCTTTTGAGACGTCTCAAAACTGGTCCAGTGGTCGGTTGCTAGCATCACACAAGTGAACGACTGAGACGTCTCAAAAGTCTTTTGAGACGTCTCAAAACTGGTCCAGGGGTCGGTTGCTAGCATCACACAAGTGAACGACTGAGACGTCTCAAAAGTCTTTTGAGACGTCTCAAAACTGGTCCAGTGGTCGGTTGCTAGCATCACACAAGTGAACGACTGAGACGTCTCAAAAGTCTTTTGAGACGTCTCAAAACTGGTCCAGGGGTCGGTTGCTAGCATCACACAAGTGAACGACTGAGACGTCTCAAAAGTCTTTTGAGACGTCTCAAAACTGGTCCAGTGGTCGGTTGCTAGCATCACACAAGTGAACGACTGAGACGTCTCAAAAGTCTTTTGAGACGTCTCAAAACTGGTCCAGGGGTCGGTTGCTAGCATCACACAAGTGAACGACTGAGACGTCTCAAAAGTCTTTTGAGACGTCTCAAAACTGGTCCAGTGGTCGGTTGCTAGCATCACACAAGTGAACGACTGAGACGTCTCAAAAGTCTTTTGAGACGTCTCAAAACTGGTCCAGTGGTCGGTTGCTAGCATCACACAAGTGAACGACTGAGACGTCTCAAAAGTCTTTTGAGACGTCTCAAAACTGGTCCAGGGGTCGGTTGCTAGCATCACACAAGTGAACGACTGAGACGTCTCAAAAGTCTTTTGAGACGTCTCAAAACTGGTCCAGTGGTCGGTTGCTAGCATCACACAAGTGAACGACTGAGACGTCTCAAAAGTCTTTTGAGACGTCTCAAAACTGGTCCAGTGGTCGGTTGCTAGCATCACACAAGTGAACGACTGAGACGTCTCAAAACTGGTCCAGTGGTCGGTTGCTAGCATCACACAAGTGAACGACTGAGACGTCTCAAAAGTCTTTTGAGACGTCTCAAAACTGGTCCAGTGGTCGGTTGCTAGCATCACACAAGTGAACGACTGAGACGTCTCAAAACTGGTCCAGTGGTCGGTTGCTAGCATCACACAAGTGAACGACTGAGACGTCTCAAAAGTCTTTTGAGACGTCTCAAAACTGGTCCAGGGGTCGGTTGCTAGCATCACACAAGTGAACGACTGAGACGTCTCAAAAGTCTTTTGAGACGTCTCAAAACTGGTCCAGTGGTCGGTTGCTAGCATCACACAAGTGAACGACTGAGACGTCTCAAAAGTCTTTTGAGACGTCTCAAAACTGGTCCAGTGGTCGGTTGCTAGCATCACACAAGTGAACGACTGAGACGTCTCAAAAGTCTTTTGAGACGTCTCAAAACTGGTCCAGGGGTCGGTTGCTAGCATCACACAAGTGAACGACTGAGACGTCTCAAAAGTCTTTTGAGACGTCTCAAAACTGGTCCAGTGGTCGGTTGCTAGCATCACACAAGTGAACGACTGAGACGTCTCAAAAGTCTTTTGAGACGTCTCAAAACTGGTCCAGTGGTCGGTTGCTAGCATCACACAAGTGAACGACTGAGACGTCTCAAAAGTCTTTTGAGACGTCTCAAAACTGGTCCAGTGGTCGGTTGCTAGCATCACACAAGTGAACGACTGAGACGTCTCAAAAGTCTTTTGAGACGTCTCAAAACTGGTCCAGTGGTCGGTTGCTAGCATCACACAAGTGAACGACTGAGACGTCTCAAAAGTCTTTTGAGACGTCTCAAAACTGGTCCAGTGGTCGGTTGCTAGCATCACACAAGTGAACGACTGAGACCTCTCAAAAGTCTTTTGAGACGTCTCAAAACTGGTCCAGTGGTCGGTTGCTAGCATCACACAAGTGAACGACTGAGACGTCTCAAAAGTCTTTTGAGACGTCTCAAAACTGGTCCAGTGGTCGGTTGCTAGCATCACACAAGTGAACGACTGAGACGTCTCAAAAGTCTTTTGAGACGTCTCAAAACTGGTCCAGTGGTCGGTTGCTAGCATCACACAAGTGAACGACTGAGACGTCTCAAAAGTCTTTTGAGACGTCTCAAAACTGGTCCAGGGGTCGGTTGCTAGCATCACACAAGTGAACGACTGAGACGTCTCAAAAGTCTTTTGAGACGTCTCAAAACTGGTCCAGTGGTCGGTTGCTAGCATCACACAAGTGAACGACTGAGACGTCTCAAAAGTCTTTTGAGACGTCTCAAAACTGGTCCAGTGGTCGGTTGCTAGCATCACACAAGTGAACGACTGAGACGTCTCAAAAGTCTTTTGAGACGTCTCAAAACTGGTCCAGGGGTCGGTTGCTAGCATCACACAAGTGAACGACTGAGACGTCTCAAAAGTCTTTTGAGACGTCTCAAAACTGGTCCAGTGGTCGGTTGCTAGCATCACACAAGTGAACGACTGAGACGTCTCAAAAGTCTTTTGAGACGTCTCAAAACTGGTCCAGGGGTCGGTTGCTAGCATCACACAAGTGAACGACTGAGACGTCTCAAAAGTCTTTTGAGACGTCTCAAAACTGGTCCAGTGGTCGGTTGCTAGCATCACACAAGTGAACGACTGAGACGTCTCAAAAGTCTTTTGAGACGTCTCAAAACTGGTCCAGGGGTCGGTTGCTAGCATCACACAAGTGAACGACTGAGACGTCTCAAAAGTCTTTTGAGACGTCTCAAAACTGGTCCAGTGGTCGGTTGCTAGCATCACACAAGTGAACGACTGAGACGTCTCAAAAGTCTTTTGAGACGTCTCAAAACTGGTCCAGGGGTCGGTTGCTAGCATCACACAAGTGAACGACTGAGACGTCTCAAAAGTCTTTTGAGACGTCTCAAAACTGGTCCAGTGGTCGGTTGCTAGCATCACACAAGTGAACGACTGAGACGTCTCAAAAGTCTTTTGAGACGTCTCAAAACTGGTCCAGTGGTCGGTTGCTAGCATCACACAAGTGAACGACTGAGACGTCTCAAAAGTCTTTTGAGACGTCTCAAAACTGGTCCAGGGGTCGGTTGCTAGCATCACACAAGTGAACGACTGAGACGTCTCAAAAGTCTTTTGAGACGTCTCAAAACTGGTCCAGTGGTCGGTTGCTAGCATCACACAAGTGAACGACTGAGACGTCTCAAAAGTCTTTTGAGACGTCTCAAAACTGGTCCAGTGGTCGGTTGCTAGCATCACACAAGTGAACGACTGAGACGTCTCAAAACTGGTCCAGTGGTCGGTTGCTAGCATCACACAAGTGAACGACTGAGACGTCTCAAAAGTCTTTTGAGACGTCTCAAAACTGGTCCAGTGGTCGGTTGCTAGCATCACACAAG